GTGTTGATACTTGGTCTTTGGGCTTTGCTTTTGGATTCATTTCTCACATGATTTCTGTTGACCTCTCCTTCCTTACGTGTCTCTTGACTTGTAAACCAAAAGCCGCAATGTAAACCGGCCACATTGTGTCAACCAAATTCAGGGCGACTGCAGATTTGGATGTTGTGTTTGCAGCTTGAGCTGAAAGAAGCTCAAAAAGCTACCTCAGCCCTTCTTAGTCAGATATTTTTTTTCTCCTCCTCAGTTGTTTACTCGTCTAGAAGTGAACATCTCAGAAGTGCCATCTGCTTTCAGCATTGGACAGAATAGTCTAACCCCCTCCAGTGAGGAACTGCTGAATCAGTGCCACATCAGGATTTACTGTGGGTTTCCTTGTTTACAAATGGAGAACGAGTAAAGTACGTATTGTACATTGCAGCGGATCTGGCCGTCTTATCCTTAAGCCTCTGTTGTTGCAGTGCTTGTGGCCTGGCCTGATCTGGCCTGGATTGAATCATTAGTGGAGCTTTGAAAGTGACTGTAATAGTCATGGAAGTGGCGTTTGGGGTGGTTTCACATTGTACCGCATATATTCTTGTTCTGATTCTATATAGGTGTTTAATAAGATTGGCTACAAGTTCTAGTGCTGTGCAGAAGTCAGAGTGCACCTTTCACTTGTTTAATTTCCAGGTTATTCATTTTTCAGGTACGGAGCCCTGCTGGTGACATCCTGTCATGACTTAGTAAGGCATGGGAACATGCCTTATAAGCTGTGGTCAAGGCTTAATTATCTCATTCCCGCGCCTTACTAAGTTGTGGTCATGTGTTAGGATCTCGTTCCCATGCTTTACTAACTCGTGGCCACACGTTATTTTTATTTATACGGGATGTCACCAGCAGGGCTTCATATTCAGGAGATAGCCCTGAGGGGATTAGATATAAGATGGCCCACTTGCATTATGAAGGAGAAAATAAGTGTTAAAACAGGAGTGTCTTAAACTGGAGTTCAGAAACTGATTTAAAGCCACAGAGAAAATGAGACTCCTAACAACCACCCGGAAGACTTGCTAGACCACCAAAACTGCCCCCATCAGATAAACAGCACTTAAAGCTTTCATCTTTGAGAGAGAGGAGAAAATCAAGCTGCTTCAGATCTGAAAACATCCACAGGTGTTTCTGTCCATCCTTCCACTGTGAGAAGACGACTCAGCGCTGTGGGTCTGAAAGGATGTGTAGCTGTCAAGAAGACTCACTGAGAAAAGGAGACAGAGACATCAAACAAAGAAGCTGAACAATGGACTGACCACCCCAGAGTCCAGACTTCAGCATCACTGAATGTGTTTGATTACTGCAGAAAATGATCAATCAACTTCTAAGACTGAACTTTGGAGGTGTGTCTGCAGATTTGTTTGAGAAACTGAAAGTGAGTCTCCTAAAAAGGGTGGAAGCTGGAATAAAGCCAAAGCATGGACAGACTAAATCCTGGAAAATGAGATCATATTTAGTTATTGAAGCTGTTACATAATTTGATGTTAAATTTATACTTTCCACTTTTTTTCCAAATGCTGTTTTGTGCTTAGTGACTGGAAACGAAACCAACGATGGGTGATCTCTGACTTTTGCGCAATACTGTAAACCTGTGTGTTGCAATGTATTAAAATGCACTGGCGTTTAAATAATGTGATGTAGTTGAAGATTATTTTGACCATAATAATAGTGTACATTGGATTAAATGAGTACCTTGATTCATCAAAACACCCAAAATACTCATCTGGATCTGTGATTGGTCAAAATGCTCACAGGACACACTAAGAAAAAGCCTGATTGGTTAGAGGCTCATTTGCATATTGCAGTCTTTTGCATCAGTAATAAAATACAGTGATAACGATTAGAAAACGATAGATCGTGCAGTTTTAGGCGTTTGCTACAACAGAATTCTGCACTGGCCCAGTTTTAGCACACTTGTGTTTGCAAGTTCAAGACAAAACATTTCCAACAATGTTTGATATACTTCAAGGTCTGAATCAGGTAGCAGAAACAGGGATTGAATAACTTCCTTTCTAGTCTGCATGACGCCCAGGGAAAACATTTTGAGGGTGCAAAAAAGGCTTTTTTTTTCTTGCTTAAACCAGTGATCTGCTGGTTTAGTCTTGTGTCATTTAAAGCGCTTACTCATAGAGGAACTGCATGCTTATGGAAAGATCAACAGTGCAACTTTTGCCTTTTGGTAAGTGCACAGACCAGCTGAGCAAGTTTCTAATGTCAGAATGATGCATCAGCTGTGGCTCTGCAGGGTGGATGGAAATGAGGACAACACTGCCCTTTTAAAGTACTTATTTTGCTTATAGTGCACAATTTCAGTGAAGGGCGTATTTGTGGATAAAGCCAACTAAATGGGAAAATTTAGATCTGTTTGAAGTGCCATCCAGATTAACCTGACTGTGCAAAGGTGCCCTACTGAAATTTATTTAAAACATGTTTAACCGAACATTATACAGAATAATCAACAGCTAAATGTAATTCCAAAACAATCTTAGCATTAAATTTGCTCACTTTCTGCTTTTTTTACAGCTTCCATTCTTTTCAGGAGTCAAATATCTGCAGGGATATTTGTCCACACGTCCAAAGTTCAGTCTTAGAAGTTGGTTGATCATTTTCTGAAACAATCCAAACACATTCAGTGATGTTGAGGTCTGGACTCTGGGGTGGTCAGTCCATTGTTCAGCTTCTTTGTTTGATGTGTCTATCTCCTTTTCTCAGTGAGGTTCTTCTTGACAGCTACATATCCTTTCAGACCCACAGCGCTGAGTCATCTTCTCACAGTGGAAGGATGGACAGAAACACCTGTGGATGTTTTCAGATCTGAAGCAGCTTGATTTTCTCCTCTCTCTCAAAGATGAAAGCTTTAAGTGCAGTTTATCTGATGGGGGCAGTTCTGGTGTCTAGCAGGTCGTCCGGGTGGTTGTTAGGAGTCTCATTTTTTTTTCTCCAGCTTTTAATCATTTTTTGAAGTCCAGTTTGGAAATTGACTTTTCTCTCCTTCCTGATGCAAGTGGATTATCTTAAATCTAATCTCATTAGACAGATCACCTGAGTAACTTGTACTTAATGGCTGTTTTGTCTGGAAATTAAATGAAATGGTAGTCAATGACTTGTGCCCAGTATTGGATGCACCAGAATAGCAATTATATTGTTACATTTTGGAAATATGATACTCCTTGCAGTAAATTAAAAATGCACAAAATATGACATGTTTACAGATAGACAAAAGTAACTTACTTTTGTTGGATTACATGAGTATTTCATTAGTGATTCCTTAAGCTGTGATTGGTCAGGATTCTCGCAGCACATAGTAAAAAACATCATAGCTGGTGAGACCCTTTATGGAACCTTCTGTGATCAGTATGGCAAAGACTAATATTGTGATAATAATTAAGAAGCAATATATTGTCAAGTCCTGACTGTCATCCTGCAGGAGCTGATGGAAGTGTTTGCAGAGCATATGGTAGAACGCTTGTAGAATGGAGTGAAAGTATAAGAAATAAGACTCAGCCTTGCACTGAAACACATACTGAAAAAATTCATAGCACGGCTAAGCCTTTGTTTGAAAGTGGCCAGAAGGCATCTTATCAGATATAGCTCTGCTAGTCTAACCATCTTTACGTGATAACAATCACCTTATCAACATTTCTCGTCTAGCTCATGGCGGGCACTTGATGATTAAGCTCTCTTGCATTGCTCTGCACATTTTTACACGACTGCAAGGTGACATGACTGGCATAAAGCCTCAGCTTCACATACTCAAGCTTTCAGAAACATTTTAGAGGTAAGCGCTGGGTGAGAATGACAAACAACATTTTAAAACTATTTTTGAAGAAGTGGTTTGCAGCTTGTGTTGCTGTGGTTTGCTGGTTTGTGTGTGGATTCCTCTAAACTTTATTTCATTGTGGCAGAAAGAGTTCTTTGGAGCAACACATCAGATCACGTTAGATTTGGAAAGAATGTTACCGTAAATTTACGTAAATAATAAGGGACTTTATCGGATGTTCATTTTTTTTTCAGCATTCTTTCTCGTTTCCTGCATCCGACCCTGATGGGACATACACTGTTTTATGATTATTAAAAGAAACATTTTTGGAATTGAGATGTGTGAGTATGAAGAAGAAGTTTAAAGGGGCCGATATGCTACGTTTTGCTTGTGCTTTGTCTTTGCTTATAACGTTTGTGTGGTTTGTGTGCTAAAAAATGGTCAGAATTAGTTTGTAAGTGACCGTTTTCCAAGCTGTCTTCATCCCTTAGTATTAAACAGGCTTTGTTACTGTGACTTTAAGGCTGATATATGTAATTGAGCTCTGTTCTGATTGGCTACCCTGTTTTGTGCGGGGCTAAACTGCTGTGGGCTGAATAGACAGATATATGTAAATGAGTAGGTTCTTGTGACATGAGAAATAAGTTCAAAAAAGTTTTTCAGCATTTTTTCAAATATGGAAACAATGCTTACATATGAAACTGTTGCAAAAAAAAGGGAGCACAATTTGTTTTTCCATGATATGAACCCTTTAACGAATCTCTACGTAACGTTTAGGTTCTATGTTTTCCTAGAAATGTAAGTTTGAGCTGTTTTGTGCTGTCCAGTGGGCTGTAATGATGAGTGTGTGGTTCTTATAGAATATAGTGGTAAATTGAGCCAATTTGGATCAGTTTTCCCTTTTTTCACAGTAATTTGGAGCATTCTGGACTCTACTTGGCAGGTTGCTTGTCAGTGAATTTGTATGTTGCCTGTAAAGTTACTGTGGGGCCTGTTTTTCCATCCCATTTTCATTTTTAGGGAATGGTTTATGTTTCTCTTCATATGCAGCTGTTTTCCATCCAGGGCCAATTATATTTATTAAACAGACTGGCAGTTTTTTAGTGTTGACTATGTAGTGAGCATATGTAGTCTTTATATGTCTTATTTGTGTTTGTGGCATTTATTTATTGATCTTTATGTACTGATCACTTTTTAATTTTTTTTCATATAGATTGAGATCCACTTTCCAGCCTAATGGAGCACATTCAAGGGGCTTGGAAGACCCTAAGTAATGGGTTTGGATTGAAAGACTCTGTGTTTGATGATACCTGCATGTCTCCCACCATTACCAAGGGTTTTCCTTATCAGCGACGCTCCTCGGATGATGGAAAAATCCCAGACTCCTCCAAAGCTAGCACAATTCGCGTCTATCTGCCAAACAAGCAGCGCACAGTGGTAAGCTTCCCATCTTGTGCTGATAGGATGTGTCAATATACTGAGCAAGTTGATTAATATTGATGGTAAATCGCACTATAACATAAGTCTGGGTGCTGTGTTCTTATGGTACATTTTCTCAAACTAATAGTTTGGCCAAAAACCAAATGTATGCACTTTTCCCCCTTATGTAAGAGCTATGAGTTTAATGTAGTTAACAAGCAAGGATGCTGGCATTGTGTAAACTGCATGCCTTAAGTTGTTAAGGGGCCCACATCTTACATTTTTCTTGTATTTTTATTTTTAAAATACAATATGATATCTATTGTGCCTTGTTTAAAAAGCAGTACAGGCTGAAACCCTCCTTTTAACTTCAGCATGAGTGGGTGGGCTAAACTGCTGTAGGCTGAATAGGCAGATGTATGTAAATGTATTGGTTTTCATGACATCACAGTAACAATTTCAAAGGGAAGCTTAATTTCCATAAATGCACTGTATGGAATAAACAATGCATTGTTAAACTCAACAATGTTTATACACAAAATCAAACTCTTATTTAAAGAAAATGAGAAAAATAGTTTTTTTTCATGATTTGAGTCATTTAAATAATCTCTAATAGACTTTCTGACACTGTATGACATACTGTTGTCTATAAAAATCTACTATATCTAAAAAATAAGTAAACAAAATTGTTCATAGACATAAGTTCATGTTAGACGTAAGCCAATCATTGTGGTTTAGGCATACATTACTTGTTGGCTACATTAGCATCATAAGAGATCAACTACATTTTGGATAAGGGGGAAATGTGTGTACATTTGATTTTTCACTGAACTGTTGCTTTAAGCATTTTTATCATTACAAAGACTCATTTCTGTACTTTATAAATGCTGATCTGATGCATTAGTGTCATTTCCGTTCTCTCAGGTGAGCGTGCGGCCGGGTATGACTCTGCACAACTGCCTCATCAAAGCCCTCAAAGTTCGAGGGCTTCAGCCAGAGTGCTGTGCTGTGTTCAGGCTCCATCCAGAACAGCCTAAAAGGTAAACTGTCTACAGCCATCCAAGCAGCTTTGTTTCAGTATATTTGTCCAATAGTCGATAGTCAATAGTCGGTTGATGTTTGTGGATTAGCTTATTGGGAGTTATTATGTAGGACCATGTAGATAATTCTTCCTGGATTTCTGACTTCCTGCAAGATTCAAGATTATTTCAGTCAAAAACAAGGAAAAAAACTCACCTCCACGATAATGCTAATTTCTGCTAGCGCCCCTTTAGGATTCCAGTAGCTTATTGACGTTAAGATAACGGCAATTCACATGAATATTTTTAGGCCGTTCTAGATTAAACATGGGCATGTGAAGCTTGTAACAGATAATAACACATACTTGAGCTTGTGTGTAGCAGAGTCAACTGACAACTACAGCTGATGCTTATGCTCACAGTCAGTAATGTATCTAGAACCTCCAGAAGGCCTTCCCTAAAGTCCTAAACAATGGGAGAGATGACTTGCCTGTATCTACCTAGATACCACAGAGAAGGAGAAACCTGGTTGAATAATTTTCTGTTTTTGTGTGTATTTTAAAACAGATATGATGAATGTATTAAATGAAAATGAACAAAATATGCACACATATATTTATGTACATATACGTATATGTACATAAATATATATGTATAGATACAGGAAGTTACTTGGAATTGTATGCAATAAAGCATTTTGCCATATTGAGTGAATTTTGTGTAATGGGCATTCTAATTATGTGCAAATGCATTTTTTTTTAAAGCAAAAAATCCCGTATGGATTGGAACACCGATTCTACCTCACTCATAGGAGAAGAGCTGCTGGTTGAAGTTTTGGATCATGTACCCCTGACTACGCACAATTTTGTGAGTTTTCTGGAAAAACACTGTCCATACGGTCGGCAGGAGCCGGAAATCACTTGACGGCGCTTAAAAATAATAATAAAGTTGTGTCAGACCTTCATGGTGCACCTTGTATCAATTTATATTTCTCGACTTGTTTGCAGTCAGTGAATATCTGATGATGCAGATTGTGAACACCAACTTCTAATGTAGTGTTTTGCTTTAAATTTGTAATGTTGTGAATTTTTCCGAACGTTTCACAGGTACGAAAAACGTTTCTGAAGCTGGCCTTCTGTGACATATGCCAGAAGTTTCTCTTGCATGGCTTCAGATGTCAGACATGCGGTTACAAATTCCACGAGCATTGCAGCACCAAAGTCCCCACCATGTGTGTTGACTGGAGCAACATTCGACAGCTCCTGTAAGTTTGAGCTTTGTAGTTTTTGCATGATTAGACTGTGAAATTTTCACACTACGTTATGCTATGAAATTGGCGAAGTATGACCTCCTTGGTTTTGTTTGATAATTCGATTCTTGTGCTGTATCTACTGCGGGGTCATGTGTAAATCAGTGGAGACGTATTTAGCTAGTTCTTTAGCTAGCTAAGTCTGAATTAGCAGACTTTAGGACTGTTGTTAGCATAGTATTGGACTACACGCACCTTCACACGAATGTCTAAAGTTACTCAACCATGAATAGTCAGAAAAATGTACAATTTTTATCTCTGGAGTATAAAAAATGTGAGCAAAAAGCTCCCATTCTGTAGGTGCTACCTTGTACACTAACAATGCTAGCATTATTGCCCCTGAGCTAGCTGACATTACATTGGTACACTTTTTACAAAGTGATGATTCTAAAAATAGAGATCAAAATACTCTTTCGGTTTACATGCTGGTGAACATGTACCGAAAGAGTAAAAATTAGCTCAATATCACTGCTTATACTGCGAGGTAACATTGTCCAGCTGAAGTCAGACACAGCCTGAGCTCAAATAAACACTCTTTACATAGTTAAATTAATGTGTTTTTGACTTTCTTTCTTCGTTTAGCATCACATATTAGCCCTGCATGAACAGAGGATGAGTGATGGGGCGATAACTTTGCTTCATTTAATTAGATGTATAGCGTCACCTACGGTTTGTCTCAAAGCGTTTGCGTGTTATAGCTGTCAAGTCTCAAGGTTTACCCCTTTGTTTGCTTTTGCTGCGTTCTTTCGGCCGTAAATCTCATTTTTCACATACTCAAAACATAGATAGTTTCACAAAACCAGCCTGTTTTGCATTTAAAAAAGCCGACCAAAATCAGGCAGCATCTAAAAGGTGCACACATGCAGTTGAAATATCACTAAGTTTGATACATCTTAAATTCAAATATAGGGAACAATGTGCATTCTTTAAAGCAAAGGCATATAACAGGTGTTTAACTGCACAAAATGTTTTAATGTAATGTTCTTTAAGCTTTTGTTTGATAATTCAGCTCTTCGACGTATTAACACAGATCTTGTGAGCTGCCTGTAGATAACCAGAGGCAACCAAACCTCCGTGTGTTGTGACATCACAACCACACTTACTGGCAGTCTGGCACACTGCATTCAGGGTTTAAGCCTAAAGCAAGAAAAAGTGGATATTCTAAACTTCTTGGCCAAAAAAAAACAACCTAGCCCTGAACCTCATACCTTATAGATGATGACCACAATTTAAATTGTATTTAAATATTATGCAGAAAAATGGCCATTAGACATTTTCCCCAAATTGTTTAGCCCTACTGCTGTATCATATATAAATCAATACAGTGTATCATTCAGGACAATACGTTCAAAGATTACTGATCGATTGAGATTAATATTGAGTCCATTGATCAATATCTGTATGAGCTGATTGAGCAAACAAATAAATCAACTACTGGCAGACGTATTTTAAACAATGACCAGATGCATTTACATGGTGTCCCTAAAGGTTCCCTCAAGGTTCTTATAAAATCCAGCATGTTTTCTATTACCCACCCTCCATGTCTATTAGGATTAAGTGACGGGTATTGGTGTTTCAACAAAGAACGTCAGGCAGTCGGTCAATTAGTGACCCCAGTAAGAAACAGTGACACTAGACTTGCCCTCTGGGCTGGGCTGTCTAGCAAAAATCAATTATATTTATAAAAAATCCAGTTATTATATTGTCCAGTGCCAAAATGTACAAGGTTACAAAAAATCTAAACATGATTAAATGATGTTTAAAACCAAACTAAACCCTGTGAGTTGAGGTTTATTAGGAATGAAAGTGAGCACAATGTTTGTGTGCTCTGCATGAGGACAAAACAATATAATCTGCCACTTTTTAGTCTAGTCCTTTTAGTCTAGTCCAGTCTGTTGATGTTAATACATGTCAGCAGTGCACATGAAGAGTTTTGCATATAGTCTCAACTACCCTAGTCACAGGCCGCAGATACCCATCAATGAAAATAAGCTGAGGCCTGGCACAATGGGCCGTTCTTCTGATGACTGTGCCACTGGCTGCTGTTCTGCTGTGCATTTGCTCTTCTTCCGAAACTCCTCTCTTCACATGAAAAGTAACAGTATGTCTGCTCTCTGTGCTGCAGTTCCAGATGTTTGATGCTGGTCAGCCGAAGGCTAGATGTTTTGTTGCACCACAAGACTAACTGGTTTTATACTGTTTTTGTTGCGGTAGCTCAGCGTTCTTCAAATGTAACTCTATTATAGGCCTCTGTTTTGGTGGGTCTTTTGTGCTTCAGGCACTGTTGGCATTTATTTGGATGCTAAGCAGATACTACTTGCCATTCAGGTTATAGTGTGTTGAATGACAGTATTATGATGTGTTTAGTAACATGATGTGTTTACATTACAGGGTTGAAGTAGCACAAATCGTTGTGATTTTGTGTCGAGATATGACAAAGATCTGATTGTTTTTGGGGTTTCACAGCTCTGTAAACACAAAAATCAGATTTGAGCCGCTTTGGTTTGTGGTCCTAGATTGGATACATACTGTTGTCGTAACGGAATCTTATAGCACCGAAATGATAACTTTATAAGAGAGGAAAGCAAATGTTCCTCATTATGTTAATGTAAAGAGATTTTATTCTAGGTAATTGTGAACCATTCCTATTGGTCCATTCATTTTGACAGAAAGTTGTGAGGTTTAATATGAAAACGATGTTCGATATGTGATCATATGACTGTAATGACTGTCAGAGTACTGCCCTAACCTCCAGCCCACCCCAACAGATTCACATTGCTGTTGTCATCATCTAGTGTAGGCAGCATATCAGCAATGGCTGACTGAGTGCGGTGTGGTTCCTTTCAGTGTGTTGACATTTATGAAGATCTGGGTCACTTACAAACACGAATGTGAACCGTCAAGGCAGAAAGCTCAGCTCGGAGCAAAACAGCAGAATTAAACATGAGGCCTGTATGACTGTGCATTGATTGCAGTAGTAATTTACAGATTATTTTGGTGACTAACCTGGCAATCAGAGACAGTGGCTGTGTTTACATGCAAAGATTTTTGCCAATCTGACTGTTTTACCCTCACACTACAAGTAATCAGATCCAAAATTACGTGCATGCGTAGAGAACCACTTAGTGTAGATGTTACCATGACAACCAGCATCACGTGAGTCCAGTCAGAGTGAGACGAGCAGCAGTGAGCAGCGCTTGTGTTTTTAATTACTTTAAAATGATGTCAGACTCAGGAAAACGTGCTTCACATGTCCTTATTAAAGAAGGGCGAGAGGAAGACGTCGTGTTCTGAGACACATAAGCTGGACGTCCGTCCCACCACCGTCTTTTAAAGATCAAAGCATAAACTTCGCCTCCTCTGCAGGCCAGTTTCTGCTTCTACCATGTTGAACATTATGACATGACACACAGGCACAGAACGTACTTCAACTTTCCGATTGGGAATGTAATCGGATGCAGGTGTAGGAATTGTATTCCGAATGGCCTCAATCAGACTAGTCTATTCTGATTGAGGTATATACGTGACGTCTTTTATTCCGTTTGCGCTATAAGTCGGATTATTATTGCAAAACATGCACAGCTTTCGGAAAATTCTAAAAGACTTTATTGTAAAAAGATGGGATTAAATGATGCATTACTCTGCAAAATGTGTAAAGTACCAACTAATCATTGTTAATTTATTGTTGATTGAGTCCTTCTCATCTTCCTGTTCCTCACTCAGGCTGTTCCCCACACCTGGAGAAGGTGGAGCTCATTCTCTACCACCTCTCTCATCTCGGCGAATGCGAGATTCTTTATCCCGGTTTCCTGCCAGGTTAGTATCTGTTCCTTCTCTGCATTTGCTCGGCACTTGGAGCATCTTTAGTTTTGTTGCTGATGAATGTCATTAACATACAAAGACAACTGAAACCTGATTTGTTTACGTGAATTTCTTGAAGAAAACATTTTCAGGCAGCCAATATACACCATATTCAGCCGTGGTCGGTATAGTGTTGTGCATAACACCTCTGCCTTCTGTGCTAAAGTTAGGGGTTCAATCTCCCATCTGGGCAAGCACCCTACACTATACCAATAAGAGTCTCTGGGCAAGACTCCTAACACTACCTTCGCTACCTGTGTAAAATGATCTAATTGTAAGTTGCTCTGGATAAGAGTGTCTGCCAAATGCAAATGTCAAAGCTATTGAAGTCCATAAATGAATACACGTCCTTACCTTGAAGTCTTTTTGAGGAAATTTAGACAAAACTACCCAGTTGAAGCTGTATATCCTGGAATGGTCAGGTGGTGAGTTTGGATGGGGAAATGAATACCTCCTGTAGTAAAAACAGACAACTGGAAGGACAGTCAGAGTTGCCAGAAAAAAAAAAAGTTAAAAAACCATAACGTGACAAATATGTCTGTTTAGAGTGAGTAATGCTAAATTTCTACAAACAGCAAGGAGTCCTGCTGACTTGAAAAGCACTCCTGTAATGTCATGCCAATAAACATACTGGCCTTCACACGTTTATTTTAATAATTTGCTGTGCTTCCTGACAGCAGCAAATGAAAGAAAACTGCGGGGACTTTTATTAGTCCACTCTTAAATGAGCTCTTTTAATGTTGTGAAGTAGGAATCTGCAGGATCCAGGTCAATAAATGTAATGTGAAGACAGTTGGCTGTGTAAACATTCTTAGCAGTGTGTATGCGGTGAGTGCTGAGGGTATCTATTATTGATAGTCATTGAAATGCTCAGTGCTGGAGAATGTTTTGCAGTTATGTCATATGAAGAGTTTCAGGTGTGTCTCCATTCAGAAGAGATGTTAAAGAAGAGCTCTGCTGTCCTCTGTGAGACATGAGAGAAAGATAATTCAGTTAGTATAACATTGGTGAGAAAAGCTGTGTGGTCGCTGAGCCAAGTGATTCAATATGCAATGAGAACAAGAGTGGGCCAAGAACTTACCCCTGAGGAACACCAGTTGTAAGGTGTTGAACGTGACTCTTTCCTGGCTACTTGGTAAAATTCAACCTTGAAAACTTGATGAGAATCAAGAGCGGGCACAGTTCCTGATGCCCAAGTCAGAGATGTGGTGTTGTGATAGATGCTATCAGATGCGGCAGACAAGTAAAGCAGGTTGAGAACTGAGGACAGGGAGTACTCACAAGCTATGAGGACAGTTCTAGGCGGTTTCACTGGAATGCCTGGCCTTGGTCGGTGTCCAAAAGATTGTCCTCTTAGAAATACTGTAGTGTTTTTAATTGTGTGTGTGAAGAAAGGTTAGAATGGAGCACAGGCTAGTATCTATCATCTTTACTAAGAAACATGACTATCAACAAGGAACAAGCTTTGAATCAACCTTGAATTATTATGGCAAAAATCAACTCAACAGAGAGTCTGTATGATAGCAATGGTGGTTCTGACTTCAATTTAACATCAAATGCCTCTGAATGTGTCAGTTCCACTTCTGGAGGCCACATTGTCTATCACAGCACAATGATTAAGCAAATATGTGATTCTAGTAATGTGTTTTAGGGATATGTAATATGCTAATTATTACAGTATGACTTACAATTTGTTGCTTTTCACTGTAAAAACTTACCATTTACAATTTTAGTAGATTCTCATATTCATATTCTATCTCATATATTAGCCATTTTTGGGCAACACTTTATTTGGATAGTCCACTTTAGATGCTTTGTAGATACTTAATTTTCAAGTTACATTCAAATTACATGTTGTTGATTTCTCTAAGTTAACACAACCTGTACAGAGAACACACTTTTATGCTATTGCGTAAAGTTGCACACATATATATATATATATATATATATGTATATATATATGTGTGTGTGTATATAATATATATATATATATATATATATTATATATATATAATATATATATATATATATATATATAATGTATGTATATTTTCCTAGTACGTTAAACTCAGCAAATAACTATAAGGTGTGCAATAAAATTTGACCTCTTAGTGTACATCATGAAAGTAATTGCTCCTTTGTTAGCAACTTGTAATGTACATGAAAACAAGCAAATAAAAGCTGTACGATTTTGCCTTGTGTGCTTTACACAAAGCAGGTTTGCAGATACCACAAGGAATGTAGTGTTAAAACATAAACAGTGCAAGCAGTGACAAGGACTTGAAGCTTTCAGTGGGATGGAGATGCAATATTTCCCAGGGGTGTGTCTGTTAAACCAGAAATAGACGCCCGGAAGTTAGTAGAGGAGTCATTACTGAGCACATGAGGCAGTGGAAAAGCATTAGCACAAATGAAAGGCGTCTAATCGGTCTTCAGATCATGAAGATCTCCAATTCATGAAGGCAGATGAATCAGTTTGGATGGTCATTCACCGTTAGGAATTTCTTCTTTAAAATGAGAACTAAACTGTTGTATTTCACTTGTGCTGTGTTGTCCAGTGGATGAGTTGATTTTTTTTTTTTTAGAACTGTGTGTCCAAAGGTCTGTAGACACCAGCGTTTCTTCTGAAATGAAGGGTATTAATAGTGAGTTTGTCCTCCTTTGCTGCAGTAACAGCCTCTGCTCTTCTGGGAAGGCTCTACACCAGATGCTGTGAGGATTTGATTGAGCATTAGTGAGGTCAGGTACTCGTGTTGGATGGTCAGTTCTGGATCATCCCAAAGGTATTGGATGGAGCTCCATCACACTAGAGAAGTCAGTTCTGCTCCACAGCCCAGTGCTGGGGGGCTTTACACTCCTTTAGTTCACGCTTGGCATTGAGCATGCCTGTGTCAGCAATGGGTGCACCAATGAAGTAGCTGGGTTCATTAATCAGAAGAGCTGCCTGGATAGTTCTGAGCATCTAGTGAACTTTATACACTACTGTTGCTTGAAAGAAGCTGTTCTCCACTGAAAACTGTTCTTTTTCAGCACGCATCATAGACACTCCACCCCTCATGCCTTCAACTACATCACACCCGCCCCGCCCGCCGAAGGCTCTCTATCGCAGAAACAGCGCTCCACCTCTACTCCTAATGTCCACATGGTCAGCACCACCCTGCCCGCGGACGGGGGTGCAGTTGAGGTAATGAATCAGCTCTACACTGTAATAATACAGTCTGGTTGCTGTACATCTTGCTCTGCCTTCCATCTAGCAGTGTTAAAGGAGAATTCCCCTGTTTTTTGTATTTTTTTTGTTTTTTGCTTTCAGCATAATTTAGATGTAAACAGACTCATTCAGAGTTGTTTGATGTGAAATGGTTTATTGTAGACAAACTTCACCAACTTATTGCTTTACAGTGGTGGTGATAGGAGCCAGGGGTAATGATGTCTACAGCACAAATATAGCCATGTTATTTACTATCTAAAACCACTAGTGAACCTACATGTTTCTTCTCAGTTTTTGTATTTAGTGTTTATGATAGTGGAAAAAAATAAAATCAAAGCCCTGCATTTACCTCTCTGTTATGAATGTCTTTTAACAAGTCGTAGACCAATATCTTATCTCAAAATATCATAAAACAATGTCTCAGGCAGCGTATCAGTTCCCATTTAACTTTCTGTGAGGGAGCTTTTAAAGGTGGACATCTGGTTCCCATCACCACCACTGTGAACGTTTCCAACTCAGCAAGTTCCCAAGAACGGAACATTTTACACTAAACCACTCTTTATGACTTTGATTCCATCTAAACTCTTTAATAATTTTGAGAATTTGGTGGAATTCCACTTTACACAGCTGAAGCTGGTAAACTTCCTGCTTAGCCTATCAATCAGATGCTTATCCTCAAAAAAACTTGATTTTCAGCACAAAATATATGTGCAGTCTATCCTAGAATCATTTCAAATTAATAAGGTGCCCTACATTTGGGCGTTTAAACAAACAAATTACTCAAATTTTGGTTCAATGCATTTTTGCCACTGTCCTGTATTGCTTGATCAGCTAGCTATGAAAGAATAGTTTTGTCTGAGGAGCATGGATAGGTCAGTTGGATCTAATGCACTTCCACTGTATATTAACATCCTTGCTTAGCAACCTAACAAACTAAATCCCCCACCCTGTTCTCTTTACCCTACAGGATGCCTTTAAAAGGCAGGAATCAGGTAAGAAGATGTTTTTCAGTAAAAACCTTAATATTAAAACCCTGATGTGCTTGTGACATCTGTCTCTCTTTGGTCCCTCTAATGAACAGGGAGCCCCCCTAATCTCAGTCCAACAGGCTGGTCTCAGTCCAAAACCCCAGCACCTGTTCACAGGGAGAAGGCACCTTCATCTAATACTCAGGAAAAAAACAGAATAGTGAGTGTCCGTGTTCTTTTTACCTGCATATCAAGCTCAGGGATTGTTCCTGTTTTCTGTAAGATTGTATTAGTCCATTTTAATAGCTGTAAATTAGTATAATTTATGCCAAAAATGCTAACACAGCTAGAAGAGAATTAAAAAAAAAATCATACAGATTAAAGCATTTAATTTGTAACTTGAGTCTGTGTACTTCAAAATATCTAGTACATGACGTCTGTGTGTTTTGGTCATTTTAATTTTTTTTTCCTGGTGTCCCTCAGCGGCCCAGAGAGAAGAGAGATTCCAGCTATTACTGGGAGATAGACGCCAGTGAGGTGGTCCTCCATTCCCGAATTGGTTCAGGGTCTTTTGGGACAGTCTACAAAGGGAAGTGGCATGGTAAGTACAATCAGTCTTTAAAGTGGAATTCGACCAATTTTTCCAAGAAATTAAACAGAATACCACATCAGAATTGTTCACGGTGACAGGAGCCAGACATCTGAGTCGTTTAATGCCTCTAGAAGAGGGGTTACAACTCTGCTCCTGGAGGGCTGGTGTTCAGCGTGGTTTGGTAGTTCTTCTAGTCAAACACATCCAATGAACCTGACAATTAACAGATGACTTACCAAACTGTACTAGATACTGGCCCTCTAAGGTTTTCTAAAACTCAATAGACACGTGTAGGTTCACTGGTGGTTTTGGATAGTAAATAAAATGGCTATATTTGACTGCCCTGGTTTCTGCCACCACTACTGTAAAGTAATAGCTCTCTGCCATGAACCATTTCACATCAAACCTCTCTGAATGACTTGGATTGCATCTCTCCGATTTGAATTATTCAGAAATGAAAAAAAAAAAAAGTGAAATTATCCTATAAGATGGTGCTTGCTGAACATGAAATGAGGGTGAAGATCTAGTTTTAAAAAAAATCACCATCATGTTATGATCAAATACATATGAAATTATATAAACTACATTATATAAATTGTATAAATATGCTGGCTTGTTTCTATTATAATAGGTGAGAATCGGACCCAATGCACTTAAAGTCTTGCCTTTATCTCTATTAAGCTGATATGTTTATGACCACAGCGAATAAAAACCTTCATTAACACATGCACATATTTCAGGTGACGTGGCTGTGAAGATTTTGAAGGTCACAGATCCCACGCCAGAGCAGTTTCAGGCCTTTCGTAATGAGGTGGCAGTGCTGAGGTGAGAAAGATGAAGGAAGCATGAATGACATGTTTTGAGTTGTTCTACAGCAGTATTCTAGGACATGATCTCTTCAGCCTTAAATAAATCACCTCAAACTCATCCATATTTTACATTGTTAAGCAGAGGTTCTAGTAGAAATGTCAACGTTGCTAATAATCATTGGATGCCAGTGTAGATGTTGTGAACTAATAGGTTAGTTAAAATACTCCTTTACACTGCAGGAAAACCAGGCATGTCAACATTGTGTTATTCATGGGCTACATGACCAAAGACAACCTGGCTATCGTGACGCAGTGGTGTGAGGGAAGCAGCCTCTACAAACACCTGCACGTACAAGAGACCAATCTGCAGATGTTCCAGCTGATCGACATTGCCAGGCAGACTGCTCAAGGCATGGAGTGAGTTTGGGAGGGTCTTCAGAGGTCAGAGTACTGAGTCACAGCTTTCATTGGAAATATCAGCACTTTTTTTTTTATTATTTTTAAACCATTAGAAAAAGGCAAGTTGCCTTTATGTTGTTCCGACATTTTATGATCCATTCGACCAACGGAAGTTTTAAAGGACCTGTAGTCCAACATATCGTCACTGATCAAAGAAAAACATCTTAATTTTGTTGATTTATTATTCTACATCATTTGAACGCAACCTTTGTGATGAATGGGCCAATAGAAATGCTCCTAAACTCTTGGAATAAAGCCTTTTTACATTAACCTACATAAAAATTGTAGGAAGTCCTGTAGAGTTAACATTTTGGAGATGCTTGTCATTCTTTGGACAGTGATAATATCGTCTTTGACGTCCACTTATAACATTATTTTCTTTTTTTTGTACAAAAAATTCTAACTTATTTTTTGCACTTCCATTTTCTCACCTCTCTTTGTGCTTTAGAATTAAACGAGCTGTTTTTCTTACGTGACTTTAAGACTGACTTATGTAAATGAGCTTGGTTCTGATTGGCTGCCCTGTATTGTGCCCCAGTCAAAAAGAGCTGAAACACACCTATAACTTCAGCATGAATGGGTGGCTAAAATGCTGGAGGCTGAATAGGTGGATATGAGTAAATGTGTTTGTTTTTGTGACATTAATAACAATGAACTCAAAACAGGCTGTTTTGGTAGCTTATTTTCCATACATAGGCTGTATAGTGTGTTGAGTGAATGGTACAATTTGAAACTTCGACAGTGTTTACAAATCACTTCAAACTCCCTTTTGAATCCCTTCCTTCCTTTTGAAGTGAAGGAAATTTGTTTTTCCATGATATGGGACCCTTTAAAAAGCAAGCCTTTTGGTTAAGTTAACAAATGTTGAAGATTTAGAATAAGTTTGAGATTGTGGGGAGTTTTCTTATGATAGACACAATAAACAGTTCTTCATTCATTCAAAACTACTTGCTTTGCAAAAATTGCTTGTCCCATAATTGTTAGCCCTCTAAGACACCGGGCTGGGCAGCACAGACATGAATATTCATCCGAACGTGTTAGCATGTTATTCTGTAAAGCTCTGAGAGTTGTGCTGAAGTTATGCCCCACGATTAATGAGCCGGAGAGTCATTTTTGAGTACGGCTCACTTATTTTATCAGTCTGCAGCATTTGTGTTTGCCATATCAGGTTAAATTTGTACTTTTTCCATCCCATCAACAGATAAACTCACCTATTTTTAGACATGGGACAAGAGTTCACAGTGTCTCCAAATAGGGGTGTTTTATATGTAAACATAGAGGGTTTTGGTCAGTGCTTGGGGTTCAAAATGAATGGGATGCAAGTGGGAATATGGCACACTACAAAAAGCCATGAGGCACACAGTGCTGAATAGTGCAACTGTGTCTCAAGATGCCAATGTTTCTATCTTTCTAGCTATTTGCACGCAAAGAATATCATCCACCGGGACATGAAGTCAAACAGTATCCTTGAAAATATCATTATTACAGTGTCTAGCTGCTTATTAAATGTATCTTAAAGGAATAGCAGTAAAATAATAATTTATACAGTTTTCCTCCTCACTCCAAATGTAGTCAGCCAGCCAAGACTTGTGTTGTACCCAAAGTTTACTTTTTTACTGTAAAAATTTTGTAACCTGGCAAGTGAGATCAGCTTAAACCTAGTCAGTATATCTAATATTTCTCATTATGAGATTAATTAGATTGTGGTAAGAGAGTTAAAAGATAATTCAACCTATTTCTAGACATTCTGTTCATGTTTCAAGAAACAGTTACTTTTAAACAAGCGAGTTTATCTTCCAATAAGACAGTTTTGCTGGATAAAATGATTTCAAATTTAAAAAGTAAAAACAATGTCTAGAAATATGTAAATTCATCTTACAATTTCCTTACAACAATCTCACTTTACGAAATATTGAGTAAAATTTTAAGATGATTTTAATAGCCAAGAGTTTTGTAAAATGTGTTTATGTATTCATTTTAATGAATCAGTTAATGTATTTATTAATTTTTTCAGTGTTGCATTTTGCACTGGAGCTTTGAGGCTAATAACTAACAAAAAACAGAAGTTGACACCTTTCAGTTAGCATAGTGCTAACTTAACCTTAAATCATCACATACTTGCCTCAAACCTTGTCGAGTTGTTCAGTAATCTCAAAAAAAAAAAACTTGTTTATGTAGTTTCTGAAATTACTATGACAGAAATGGACAAAAACATCGATAAAATTCAGGCTACAAGATGGTTGCTACTGTTTTTAGCTAAGCAACATGCAGTATGTTATACAGTGTCAAAAACCACACAAGCAAGTCTGTCAGCGCTAACTATTTACAGCTCCAGTGTATGACGATTTAGGCATGCAGTTAGCACAATGCTAATTGAAGCTTATTAGCTTCAGTTAACTGTTAGCTGCATTAGCCTCATAGCAAACGTAAGCATGAAGCAAAGAAGCAAACTGGAAATGAATATGTTTTGGCTGATTGACTACGTTTGGTGTGAGGGAGGAAACTGTGTACATGTAAAAATTGTGTTATCTACATTAGCTTTTTAGCTCTGGAGCAGAACAAAAAAAGCAAACTTCAGTCAGCAAATGTGTCGTGGCTGCTTACGTACATTCGGGTGGAAAAGTGTGAGAATTATTTATTTATTTATTTTTGCCAAGCTGTTTCTTAAGTGAGGTCTCCCATGACGTCCAGCCAAGCCACAGTGCTTCTGTAGTGCAGTATGTTTGTTCTGAGGTAGTCAGGGTGCTCTGCCAGTTCTGTTCCTCCTTAAGAAGCGTCTTCAGACATCTTCCTACATGAAGGCTTAACAGTGAAGATCGGAGACTTCGGTTTGGCTACGGTGAAGATGAGGTGGACTGGCTCCCATCAAGTGGAGCAGCCTTCAGGATCCATCCTGTGGATGGTAGGCCGAAAAACATCCCGTTCCATCAGCTGGTGGAGCCACAAATATCTGATTACAACCTAGTCTGATCAGATAGGTGTTAATATTTTAAGTGGGATAAATGTTTAGTTCCTGCTTTAAATGCAGAAATACACCACCATTCACTACACTACAAGGTTGAAATCACTGTTTTTAATAATTTAAAGCCAGTATTGTTGCAGATACAGGTATAAAATGATCGAAGAATGTGATGCTTTGACTTAGCATAATGCTTGATGGTGCTTAGCTTGCTTGTAGTAAATCATTATTATGTGTTCAGATCATCTGAAAAGTGCATGTATTGAAGACTTACTGTTCAACAATGAACAGCGCACAATGGCACAGTGTTTGGATTTGATAAATAGTGGTGTTTACCCATCCTGATATATATATATGCATATTAGAAAGTGAAAGCAAAGCATGTCTTACAGCACTAATGTCTGTGTAATGCAAGTTAAAGACACTTTGTCTGCTCCAGGCTCCTGAGGTGATCCGCATGCAGGACAACAACCCCTACAGCTTCCAATCAGATGTGTATTCCTACGGTATCGTCCTGTACGAGCTGTTGACTGGGGAGCTGCCGTATTCTATGATCGCAGACAGAGACCAGGTAATTACGTCAGTGACCTCTAACACATTTCATCATTAGGGGTGCACAGATATGGGGGTTGAGCTCTGATCCAGATATGCGATGTTTTTCATGTATATATCTGCTGATGCTGAGACACAAATATTTATAAAATGTTGAATGTTGTAGATATTTTAGCAGAGTAACCTAACGTTACCTAAACATTCTGCTCTTAATATAATATAAAAATGATGACTGTTGTGCTGATGGGAGTGGTGCTAAACTTTACAGGAGAAGGAAAAACATTCTCACCTTCCAATTTGTTAATGAAATGAGATTTTAATCAGTTGTATTTTACATTCATCATGAAATCTTTATGCAATGTAAATGGCAGCAGGCATTTTTAAATGATATATAATGTGTTATTAAAAAATTATATGAAAATGGAGATACAAGATTTTGGGTCGTGATATATTTTTGCAACGATATATAACAGCCATATGCAAAAGTTTGAACCAGCCCGGTCAGATTACATGTTTTGTGGGACAAAAAACATCTTCTACAGATGCCTCTAAAAACTGGATTTTAACCTGAAATTTTATTTGACTAAAATTGTCAAATATTTATATATGTATTATTCATAAAGATATTTTATTTTTGATCATTATATTTGAAATTTGATTGCCATTCTGAATGTTATTATTTTTTATATGTTTTATTATAACTAAATTCGCCTTATACAGATTTCTCAGTATGGAATGATAAATAGTTCGTTACTCGGACAAATTTAAAACTAATATATATATAAATATATATATATATATATATATATATATATATATATATATATATATATATATATATATATATATATATATAGTTTTGTTAGAATTGTTTTATACACCATACTGCCACAAACTTAGTTTTATATAACTGAAAACATTGATTCTGATCTTTTGAACGATACTGTATGTTGTGTCTTTTGGCTAATATTGACTCTTAGTAGTACTTTGGGAGGTTAGTTAGCAGCGGCTCCGTATGCTGGTGAGATGTAACTCACACAGAGCCAGTGCTGGCTGGGCCGTCACTGTGGAGCCCAGTGCTAAATTTAGACACCTTAACCCAAAGACTCACACTGAGACCACACTGCTGGGTACTGCGGCCTCCAGCTCTGTTTGGTTGTTTGCGGCCGAGTGGACTCCCTCGCACATTCCTTAGGAAAAACCACAAGCTCATGGCCCTAGCCTTGCACTTATTGTTCTCATGAAGCCCAGGGGAGGGTGCAATATTTTTGGCAAAGGGTACTGTTTTTTTTTTTCCCCCCACTTCATGTTTCCTGGCAAAGATCACACATGGTGCTAGTATAAACTTTAACTTGATTTGTCTGATGCAACAGTCCTTTATGTCCCTCGCTGTTAGATCATCTTCATGGTAGGAAGAGGATACTTGTCTCCAGACCTCAGCAAGCTGTACAAAAACTGCCCCAAAGCCATGAAGAGGCTGGTAGCTGACTGCATCAAGAAGTCCAAAGACGACAGGCCGCTGTTCCCTCAAGTAATTATCCTTATCTTTTCTGGTTTAGCCGCAAAAAAATGGAATAAGCTTGTTTGGTTTGCTTTAACTCCTTTTTCAAAGGGCCTTGCCTAAAACTAGCATTTAATCTGTTATTTTTTACGTTAGTATTTTATAATAGTGTCCCTCAACCTCATCGATTTGACAGAATTCCTGATTTTGTATTATTTTCTTGTTTTCATTCGTCAGTGTTATCACGATACAGTAACCTGCATGCTTTAAACAAATATACTACACAACTATTGGGAATTCCTACAGTGCTCAACAAATCCTGACTGCTAGCCAGGCTAATAAATGCATCCGTTAGCACGGCCGTAAAACTCTAGTCTTTTAAAATTGTCTTTCACCTTCAAGTTACCTCATCAGAATAGTATTTTGCAAGTCTTTACACCAATAAATCTCACTTGAGCAACTACCTCAGCCGCACAGTAGGAGGCCTATAGGCACGTTTGCAACCGATGTAGCGTCTCTTTTTAAAAGGCGTCATGAAAAACCCAATTAAAGGGAAATTCCACCAGTTTTTCCACATTTCTGCATAATTCAATGATTGATTCAGAGTTGTTTATTGAGTGATGGTTAATTTGGAGACAAACTTACTGACTCAGATTTCTTTACAGTGGTAGTGATGGGAACCAGGTCACTGCGTCTACAACACAGATACAGCTATTTTATTTAGTATCCAAAACCACCAGTGAACCTAGTTCTGACATTTTATGTTATGTTAATGATGATAAAATATTTTTAAAAGGTTCTACTGGGGACTATTTGGCCTTATAATGCCTTGCATGTATCTCTCTACCATGAATTGCTTTTAAAAAAGTTTTAGGCCAGAACCTTTTCTCTGAACTGTTGTAAAGCAATGTCTTTGACACCAGGCAGTGAATTCATAACCATTTCATGTAATAACTTTCTGTGAGGGAGATTTTGGGGCATTACATGTTTAGAATGTCTGGTTTCTATCATTATGGTGGAATTGTCCTTTAAGTTGGCTTGACAAACAACGCTTTTTGTGTACCATTTTCACAGGTCGCAGTTTTTGAGCTAAAATGTGTACATATAAAACAATGACAGTTACAGACTGTAGTCCGTCTGTTTCTCTGCATACTTTGTTACCCTGTTCTTCAATGGTCAGGACCCCCACAAGACCACCACAGAGCAGGTATTATTTGTGTGGTGGGTCATTCTCAGCACTGCAGTGCCACTGACGTGGTGATGGTGTGTTATTGTGTGTTGCGCTGGTGCGAGTGGATCAGACACAGCAGTGCTGCTGGAGTTTTTAAACACTGTGTCCACTCACTGTCCACTCTATTAGGCACTCCTACCTTGTTGGTTCACCTTGTAGATGTAAAGTCAGAGACGATAGCTCATCTGCTGCTGCACAGTTTGTGTTGGTCATCCTCTATTTCTTTATCAGTGGCCACAGGATGCTGCCTGCAGGATGCTGTTGGCTCGATGTTTTTGGTTCTCAGTCCAGCAGTGTCACTGAGGTGTTTAAAACTCCATCGGCACTGCTGTGTCTGATCCACTCAGACCAGCACAACATGCACTAATACACCACCACGCAACATCTTACCAGTGACCTGGGATCTTCGTTCAGCCAACTTAAAAGAACTTCCCCCTTGTGGTTTTTCTTGCTTTTTTTAATATGTAAACTTTGTAAAAGTTTCAGTAAGTACTTTTCAGAATCGAGCCCTTTTATATAAGAGTAACAAAAATGGCCTGTTTATTCTGAGACATAAAGAGAGGTTGTGAAATTGTCATGTACGACTGACTGGCATATAAAACCACTACATTGCAAGCACTGTTAGCAGATTTGCATTATGCTAATAAGCCTCAGCCGCACTTGTCTTGAAATAGCGTTGCTGACTGATGCATATTCTTCCTGCCCTTCAGATTCTGGCCTCTGTAGAACTGCTGCAGCACTCGCTGCCCAAAATCAACCGCAGCGCCTCTGAGCCATCTCTCCACCGAGCTTCTCACACAGAGGACATCAACGTGTGCACCCTGACCTCCACCAAGCTGAATGTCTTCTAGAATGGACAGTTTTGTTGTTTCCCAAACAAAAGTGCCCCAACTATGACGCTGCCTGGAAACTCCTGTTACAGCCAATCATATGTAGTGCATTTTATTTCTTCTCTAAAACCAAGCATGAGCAGTTTGGCTCCATAAATGATGAAACAAATGCCTTCAGTCTTGGTGAAGGTGGCTGAAGTGAGGTAGTTTGTGCCTTGACGCTCATTATAAAAGGCCTTTAAAGGGGAATTCCACAGATGTGTCAAAATTTCTGCATAATTTGGTGTGAAATGATCTGTTCAACAGAAACTGACAGTCAGAATTATTCACAGTGATGGTGATAGGAACCAGACATCTAATGCTTTTAATGCTGCTAAAAGCTCCTTCATAGAAAGTTGTCATGCCTAAGACATTCTTCTCAGGATACTGTAAAACATTTTGGCCAATATTGTAAATCTATTTTCTATGTAAATCTATGTAGAGGTACATGAAGGGGGTTAAAGGCAAAATAGTCCTCCAAAGAAAGCTTACATGTTCTTATTTACCACCACTTTACCATCAACTCACATATTAAAACTTGTGTAGGTTCACTGGTGGTTTTGGATAAGAAAATAAAATGGCTATTTGCATTGTAGATGTGTTGACCCCTGGTTCCTGTCACCACCACTGTAAAGAAATCAAAGTCAGTTAGTTTTTCTACAATGAACCATTTCACATCAAACCACTCTGAATGACATCTCATCCATTGAATTTAGAAAAATTGGTGGAATTCCACTTTGAAAGTCTTGTCTTGCCTTGGCTTTGTACACGTCACAAACATAAGAGAACTTTCAGGTTTATTTTTCTTTCACGGTGCCCAAAGATCGGTTCAATGGAGGCAACTTCAGCACTTCTGATTTGATTGAGACAGCGTTTCACGAAGCAGAGCTCATAAGCACAGCAGCTTTGTAGTTTTGGCTGTATCAGTGATGATCTTCACAAAGGCCCTAATCTGCTTTTATGTTTTGTGATGATTCAGCCAGAACTCCTCTCAGTGACCTGGGAGTTTAAAACATGTAAAAAGCTGTACATTTTTTAAGTGCAAATTCAGACTGTGGTCATTTGCTTTTGAAGGTCAAATTGATTGTTGTTACCAAGGAAACGTGGATGTACAGTTCAGATGGACCCTCAGCAAACGCTGCATCAAATTGAGATGCCTTTGTGGCATTAGAGTGTATTTGTCGCCGTGATGGTTTGTTTTTATGAGGCTGTACTTATTCCAAGAATCAGTGACTAGAACATATGAATGACTCGTTAAAGTTATTAGGGATTTTAATCTATTTTTGACCTGTTATTGCGTTAGCAAGCACTAACTTGTACACTTAAAGACTGTTTATGCTTTGTATTTTAATAAAAGTAAGTTAAATACATGGTTTAGTCTCAATTGCTGTGCAGTTTGATCATAAGGGCAAATATTTCAATTTTACCTTCAGATTTTTGAAACTGCAGTTTTGTCTGCCACCTTGTGGCTGTTTTCATTCATTTATTTATTTATTTTTTCCTCCCCAACACAACTGAAAGCTCCAAATTTGACTCCTACTGGAACATGTGGATGAGGTGAGAACATTTCATTTTAAAACAGTATAAATCTTTGGTATGTCTGGCTATTATTGTATAGGTTAAGGGTGCATGATATGGCCATTGTTATATGTATTGCAGTCTTGTTTTTCTGAGTTTATAAACAAACAGGAAAGGATGACATGCACCAACGAAACAACAGCGGCACATTTTTAAAAACATTTTTTTTTCCTTTTTATAACAAACATTTGTAAAAATAAACTTAACACTTAAGGGACATGAGGAAATCAAACCACTCATACAAATAAAATACTAAAATAAGATGATGGCCTGATTTTACTGCACAGTTTATGCAGTCAGTGCACACTACAGTTGGGCAACATGACTGATTGTATGAATATTTATTGGTACAGTGATGTATTACATCACAACATCCTTCTCCAAGCATACTGTCAATACTTAAAGACCACTGAACAACTGCATTTCATTACAGACACTGCATAATTAGTCCTGTTGACTGGATTTAATGTACTGCAGTGTGTAAAATGTGCGCTGAATATAAATCACTGTATTCATAATTTTGGATTTAATGTTTTAAATGTGGCACTACAGGTGTTCCAACCTGCACCCCTACCCTTACCATACACTGAAGGTTGTTTACAGGCCCTATAATTTGATCTCTATAAATCAGTATTTTTGTTGCTCAGTGTTAGAGAAGTACTCAGCGAACGCATAATCTACTCATAAAATAAAATCGTGACATTATTAATAACTAACATAATTGTCATATCACCCACATCCCCATGTCAGGCTTTACTCTGTCCCTAAACAGTAAGGATGGGGGTTGGAAAACCTGCAGTGCCACATTTAAAGCATACCATCTAAAACTATTAATACAGTGATTTATATTCAGCATTTATATACTGCACTGCATTAAATCCAGTTAACAGGACTAATTATGGTCACTTTGTAATAAAATATGTAAAATATGCAGTTGTTCAGTAAGTACTGATATGCCCATAACAATATATTTATATTATACACTAGGGGTGGGCAGTGTATAGTGACAGTGTTCTAGCAGTACTGACCATATGCATCATATACTCAGAAAATACTGTCCTATCACCCCTCTTCCCCAGGTTAGGCTTTACTTCGTCCCTGTTGGAACAAAAACTTATATTCACATAGTGGTCGTTTTTCTTTTTTTGGCATAATTTGAAAATATTAGCTGCCCTTTACATTGTGGGGCCATTTCATTATGAATAGACCAACAGAAATGCTCCAAAATTACCTGGAAAAAATTCTCTAGATTAACTGACATTGAAAGTTACTACTGTCCCCACCCCCTTCTATAAAGTTACCATTCTGAGATTTTTTTCTGAAGATTTGCAGAATTGTATTACATGAACATCCTGCTAAAGGAATAGATTAAGTTGATGGTTTTGCAAATGATGTTTGTGGAGCTTGTTGGTGGAACACAAAGCAGGAGCGATCAACTGTCTAATTAGTTCTTTTGTTAAAGGGCCCGTATCATGTAAAATCAAATTTCTTCTCCTTTTTTGGAATAAAAAAGTTTGACGTAGTTTGTAAACACTGCAAAAGTTCTAAAACCTTAACTCCCCAGTCCATATATAGGAACTATGGTGCAGAAACAGCCCATTTTGAATTGGAATGTAAAATATGGGCCCTCTAAAACTAAATTAACTCACTGTATTATAGAAAATAATATAACAGCGTCATGTTACCATTACATCATCACAGATGCCACACTGATGTCATGCCTTCTAACTAGAATAGGCAGGTGACAAATGTGTCATGACATCAAACATTACAGCATCTGTCATTACAATAGCAACTCATAACAGCACATGACACTGCTATGACACGTTTATGAAATGGTTATGTATACTTTATGTAGCAGCGTTCAAGTAAAGAGCTACCAAACACTTTCTGATCCCATCAAAACATTTTTTTTAATCCTCCAGGCATTTACAGCAGAGGTCACCAACCTGCAAAGCGCTGGTGAGACTGCAGGATTCAATTTCAATCAAGCAGGATCTCAACTCATATAACTGACTGATTGTATACTGAGACTAACTATGACACTTAAACAAGTGCTTTTGCTTGATAGCAGGGCTGAACACCTAAACATCTAATTGCAATTTTCAGACCAATATTGCAACTGTGACGTTAAATTGTGATTATTTTCTATAAAATCGCTCCAGACCTGTTATTTCGGCCAAGAAGACCAGCGCATCGACTTTCACTAGTTTAAAGGGTCCATAGCCTACATTTTTCTTGCATGTTATTGTTTTCCCTGAGGGCCACGCCTGCCATTTGTGTTCAGGTATCAAAGGGTTATAGATATCAAAAAGTCATAATTTTTACATGACCATTTTCCAACCTCTCTTTATCAGATTTAAACAGGCTGTATTTGTACATTAAGACTCATATGTAAATACATCAGAGCTGATTGGCTGCCCTGTATTGTGCCTAAAAAGCAGCGTGGGCTGAAGAGGCAGATGTATGACATCACAAAAGCATTGGCCTGTTTTCGCAGCTTAGTTTCCTTATATTGACTCTATTATCTGAATAAACTGCAATGAATAAATTGCAACTTCAGCTATGTTTACATAATGCATCAAACTCTTTCATTTCAAAATAGTGAGGAAAACTGGCTTTTTTTTCTTTAACTTCTGAACTTAACTGCTTCTGATTGGTTTATATCATCCACAGGTGGTTCACAAGCACTACGTTATTAGGTTTCCCTATTTTAAACATAGCTAAAATTAAAATGGCACTCTTTTAAACTGAGCTTAAAGGATCATTTTTCAACTCTACTTGATTGGAGTGAAAACCTGCAGGCTCAGTGCAGGTGAGGTGAGGCAAATCCAAACGCAGAGATGTGAAATCCATCACGCGATATGAAGGAACAGCTCAATGTTACAATATTTAGCACTCAAACAGCTGAATCACTGCTATTTTATTACAGTCTCACCAGCTTCACTCAACAAGACAATTCATAGAACAGAACAATATGAGCCTCATCAGGTACCTTCAGTTCAAGTGTACACTAGATGGGATAAAGTTCAGTATTACTATTCCTGTTGTGTTCAGGAGGATGTAATTATATCTAAGCAGTCCTAAAAACATTTACCGAAGTAATAGGTAAGGAATGAGCAGTTACAAGAAAATGGATCTTTTTTTTTCTTCCAATATTGCATTTTTCCCCAAAAAATAGTAGAGAAGTCGCCTCTTCATAAACGGATCTAAGTGCAACAATTACAGTATATATGTTTTTTTTTTTTTTAAATACACAATATTCGTCATACTCATTATACTTCACACACTACTTGAGTGCATTCATAATGTGCCAGTCCCTTTTTTTCATGTTTTCTGTGGACGCATTAAAAATCTTTTTAATCCAGCAAGATTCTAACACGTATCAGGAAAACATAGCAGCTTACAGAAACAATACAGGTGCCTTTAAATATTGTCATATTCATATACTATATGTCATTCCACAAAAATGTACCACAGGTAAAAAGATTTTTTTTTTTTTTTATGAAAAACACCTCAAACCATAAACAGGAAAAGCTTTACCAGTGAGTACATTTTTATTGCCCAGATAATGTACACAGTTACCAAAGATATGAAACCATGGTTTCCGAGGTCGGCCTACAGGTCTGGATCTGTATGTGTGAAATTAGTGGGATGCTGAGGGTCCGCTGTCCTCTCCAGCTGCAGACAGCTGCATGAAGAGTTCTCCCAGTTCGTTGACTTCATCTTCGTACTGCGGAACTCCGCGATGCTCGCGTTCCTCAATGAAGTCCCACAGCCGGACAGAATTGAGAAACTTCAGGGGGAAAAAGGAAAAAACTATTATTACTCGAAAAGTGTTTGTTTAACTTTTATTTCAACACAGAAGTACTTTATTTTTTCAATGAGCAAATTGATCAATGAAAAACAAGATGCATTCTTCTTCTGAATGTGCAGCACTGTGCAAAAGTCAGAGACCACCCTTTGTTAAATTACAGATAAACTAGGATTAACCACCTAGTAACAGTATTTAAAGCATTTTTTAATGATTTTTCCCCAGTTTTTCCTTAATTTAGACATATCCAGTTCCACCCACTAGTTAGTTCTCCCACAATCACACGATACCACAAGTGCTAGGAGGGCGAAGGCTAACACAGGCTTCCTCCAACATCTTTTCAAACTGCTGCTAATGCATCATCACAGGACAGCCGAACGCGATTGGAGGAAAGCGCTAACCACCAGTTCTGTTACGTCAGCTAACGGACACCGGCGCTGACTAGCATCATGCTGACTGATGGGGGAGACGGGGCTGGCATCCTTCCTACCCAGAGAGAGTGAGGCCAACTGTACTCTCTTGGCCACAGATGGCTGTAGCATCTCTTGCCGATGGGATGAGCGCTTAGATGGTTGCACTAAAGCTTTCATCTTTGACAAAGAAGAGAAAATCAAGCTGCTTCAGATCTAAAAAACATCCACAGGTGTTTCTGTCCGTCCTTCCACTGTGAGAAGACAACTCAGCGCTGTGGGGTCTGAAAGGATGTGTAGCTGTCAAGAAGCCTCACTGAGAAAAGGAGACGGACACATCAAACAAAGAAGCTGAACGATGGACTGACCACCCCAGAGTCCAGACCTCAACATCACTGAATGTGTTTGATTACTTCAGAAAATGATCAACCAACTTCTAAGACTGAACTTTGGAGGTGTGTCTGCAGATTTCTTAGAAAATTTAAAGTTTCCTCTTTATTTATGGCCATTTTGACTGAAAATAAATGATAGGTGGCCTCTGAGTACATGGCACATGTACATGGTCTGCCTGACTGGTGTGTCAAATGAAATGAACCTTACAAATTTACTGTGGGTTAATACCACCATTATGTGTACATCTTTACACAAAATTAAGTGGAACCATATGTGATCACAACGCAATAGAAGTACATCACTGCGTAAAAATAAGGACAAAGGACTAAACATTAAATTAAACACAATAATGTACAACATGAGGCAGACTCCTGGTGCTCTCCTGCTTTAATGTGAATGGTTTCTGTTCTTCACAATTATAGTCCTTCAGATACAGGTCAGCAAGGTTCCTACCCAGAGAAATATGGACATTTCACAAACCACTTAAAACAACAGCCCAAATTTAGTACAAGCTTCTTCAAAGTTTCTGAGCTGCCTGAGTGGGTGGCAGAACGCTGCCGCTGATTATTCTAGGTAGGCCCTGGAGCTCAAGCATCCAGCAGCTCACTGAGGCTCCAAAAGGAGTGCATGTCTGGTTAAAAAGAAGTGAGCTTGACCCAAACTCCATCAGTCCTTCGAGGGTGAATGCATGAGCAACATCTGAAGCCTGCAAACTTCTTTTGGTTGGTTTAAGCCCTGGAAAGATGCGGAGCAAATCATATCACAGGTATCCAACAGCTATTGTTTCCTCAAGCCATTAAAATCAGAAGGAAGGGGATCAAAATGGTTAATTCCTATAAACTCAACTCATTAAAAAAGCTTCGCTCCACACGTGAGTGACTTTTTTTTGCCCTTGTTTACTTGCTGTATTTTCTTCTTTCGCACTCAGTTTTCATTGGCTGTTGCAGGAGTCCGTTCAAGAGTTCTTGACCAGTTTACTCTATATTTCGGGTCAAAAATATCATATGTTTAAACTCTAACTGGTCTGTAAACATAATCGGGAGGCCAAAAATTGGAATCTGCGCCCCTCACACACGACTCGGTTCTCTCTCCAACTGTCGACTCCAAGTGACTCAAAAATCTGCAGACTAGAGCCGACCAGCACAGACTCAGCCAGACTGAGGATCAGGGCTAAACTCAGGGTAAAAGCTGTGTAGTGTAACCCCAGCTTAAAGCAGGGAGACGAAGATGTTTCCAAACTCAGTTATGTTATTAAGTCACATGGAGAACCTGTTGCTGCACCATTCCTGGGGTCAGGGGAGCCTGAGTGGGCTTGAGTAGAGCTTCATGCTCTAATGTCAAGAATGTTTCTGTCAAGAATTGTACCAATCATAAAACCTTACTACACTGTACCTACACAACTGCATTAGACCTTGATATGAAGTTAAAAAAGCTTGTTTAGGGGCACTGACAGGTGCACATTTGTCACAGACTTATATTATTAGATATTTCTGTCTTCAGAATTCGACCAAACAGGCTTACAAACATTATTTTATAGACTTTCTCAAATCCATCTTCTAGTTTTCTATGTGGAAACACAGAAACCTACTAATGGTTAACTACAGATTAAAGCGAGCTGTTACTTACAATCTGTGCTCATCAAAATGCTACAGTTATCTGTGGTAACAGCACAGCTAGAATGCTTCCCATCCAATCAGACTGTACCATCGTAATAAACTGTTGTATAAAGTCATCTAGCATTATGTTAATAAGACATACGTCTTAATAATAGCATGTCGTTCTGTAGTGCTGCGGTATATGTAGTAAAAGCAGAAAATTACCCGAACATTCCCCTCTGAGCTGAGTTGCTTTCGAGGTTTGTCTGGTTCGGCTCGTGTCCCATCAGGGTAGGCATGCATGTAGAAACATTTCCCTCCAAACGGACACGTTCCCCTCCCCTGGTCAAAGTACTTGCAGGGCTTCTTGCTGCAAAACACATGAAGCTTATTAGAAGCATGTATTGCACCCGTAGTGTACTATTATGCATACAGGATGCAGGCCTGTCATTCACAGTATGAAGGGCAAGATAGAATCTAACTGATTCATCGCAGGCAGATGAGACTACGGCCCAATCCCATTTCACCCCTTGCCCCTACCACTTAGCTATGACCCTCTATTTTGTATGTCCATGTCTGGGGGGTAGGGTGTCCTGATTCTTGTTGAGATAGAGGAGCAGGATGAAGTGTTAGGTCTACATGGTCCTCCAAATGGAGGTTTTTCAGAGGCTCATTCCAAATGGAGTGTTAGGAGAAAAAAAGAAAACCCTGCCAGATGGCTGTGCAAGCGACCGATGACACCCACAAATGTGAGAATTGTATTTGTTAAAATTATGATAACCTTTGTATTATCTTAGTTTAATGTTGGTTCAATGTATTATGGTCTTTTTTTTCATAAAAAGCATAAAAATCACTAGTACTTTGCTAATGTCTTGGTTGGTAGCTAGCTTTATAACGCCAAAGAATTAGGGGTGGCCGATAATAAATAAAAAATTCCCCCCTCTTTGACGGCATATGATTACCTAAATTTAACTAAAGCCCAGCAGCGAGGTTGCTGAACTTTACCCTCCTCTGCTATCGCTGCAGACTGGCAGGATCACCTACAGAGCACTGCTAGTAGCCTGTTAATGGAGTACCCATTATTTTTTATTTGAGGGTCCCATTACGTTGGGGAAGATTTTGACCACTGCCCCTTATAACTCATTTCCAAGGGGCAAAGTGACACTCGAAAACAAGGGGCAGGGGTAAAAATAAGAAATAGGATTAGGCCTAAATGGTATGTTGTGATGCTGACATCAGGTTCCTAAGCAAAGCAGACTTTGAGTTATTTCAGCTTCAGCTGGATCAAAAGCAGTTCACAAACTGCACTGTGGGGAAGCCTATAGCAGACTTCTAAGGGAGGACTGGTGGTTGACCTTTGGGTTTCTATTTAAGTGGGTGTATAATAACCATGTCACTTTCACCTCACTGCACAAGGGTGTAACTAAACGAGACCACTAAGAACCATCTCCATTTTAAACATTAATTACTGCTTTCTGAGACTGGAACCTTTTAGACTGCAAATCTGCTGACACCATAATCTTTAGAACTCTCTTATGATAAATGTACACCAGAACAAGCTTACAGTGGTAATTTGCTGCTTACCTGACTCCAGATTTAAACTCTTCAATGAGACGGTTCTTCTCTTCCTGATCTTCCACCCAGTAGATACTGGGAATAACAAACTCTGACACCACTCGGCATTCTGGACAAGACCTGCAACACAAAGCACTGTTTTAAAGCAGCTACCCAAAAGCCATGCATTACAGTGACTGTACATTTAAGTGGTACTGTTAGGCACTAGAAATACTTTTATGGCACCAGCTGAATTACTTTAATACTCCAGAGTATAGAAAGAACTTCATCTTATTTAACACCAAAGTAGTCAGTCTGAGCATCTGTGAGCCAATAAGCACGCTTGTTCTAAAATCTAGACTGTCGATTTAATTATATTATGCATGTTATTAACATTCTTGATCAGTCTGAAATTACCGCAGTCTGTAAATAAACTCACTTTCAACATCTCACACTCGGTTTAAGTCCCACCTGCATTTAGTTTGGGCTCTGAAAAAAGTACAGCTCAGGAAAAGGTATCGAAGTCAAGATATCGGTATCATTCATGAAATTTTTGATACCCATCCCTTTTAGGCACATTAAAATACTTGTGCTCTTTAATACAAAGTTCAATTGATATGATCTGCATATGTAAAATATTTAATAAGGGCATCGAACAAGGCTCAGCCAATCAGCTTTGAGAACTGGAACTGTTTGTTTTATAATTCACACTTAAATAATGACAACAATGCTGATAACTACTTTCGCACTGTTAGCTTGCTCCAGTCTGCTTTTCTTTGTATTGAGGATGCATTTAAGGAATGCAAAATGCTGAATTTCAGAAATGAATTTATATATAGTCGTGTGCTAAGTTTGAACAACCCCAGTCAAATCACACTTTTGTTGATTTTCTAAATAAAAATTCTCTACAGTGGACAAAGTTAAAAATGGAATTTTTCTTTCAGTTGTAGCACACAATTACTATTTATTTGACGAGTTTGACATATCAGAAAAAAATTAAACATATTAAATGTGCCTTAACTTTTGCACAGGCCACATTTATGTTTTATTTTTTTCCCTGATATGTTAATTTCTGCAAATAAACCTGTAACTGTGCATTAAAATGTGCAGGAATGTGTTCTCTGTAGAGGGTGTGCTAAAATATTTCCACTTATAAAATCAACAAATCATGTAATTTCTTGACAAAAGAGTGTTACTGACTGGCTACAAGAAGAGAAACAGTCATTCTTTTCTTCACAAAGTTAAAGTTACTGAGATAGGAAGGTAATTAGTATCTCCGAAATATTTATTGGAGATTTATTTTGTATAACGTTGTGCACACTGGGCACTAGATCTGGTATGTAATTTATTTGGCTAAGTATTTTAAATAACATAACTGCCAGTGTTCAATGCTCTGTGAAGTGTTATTATACAAACAGAATGTCTCAAATGTTGATTTAATTGGCTGGTATAAATTCCACAGTGACTGAACTATAAGACCATGGAGCAAGAATAAGCAGCTTGGCAACAAATGATGTAACAGAGTAATAAAATGCGGAACGCCCTGCACCCCCTGTAGCTGAACACGTCATATTCAGTCAGAATATGCTATTAAAAAATTGAAAGCTGCTCCAGTTTGGTTTCTTTTGTAAAATCATGCTACAAAATTGTTTGGACTGTTTGAAATTTCTGTACTTTAATAATGACTTTTTTTCAAAAGTTAAATGATTTTTATTACCGATTTACCCTATGCAGGGTTTGTATAAATGTACAGACATACAGGGACAGTGAAGCACTTATAAATTGTTATTGCTATAAGCTCTCTGGAATGTTATAACTGAATTTATTAACTGAAGAAACTGGTTTAGATTTAGACAAAATGCTTCCTTCTCAATTACACTCAGCACTTTTAATAAGTATCTAAAAACACCCCTATTTAATGTTGCATTTAAATCAAATCAATGCCTTCCTCAGATTTTATTTTTTATTTAGTTAAATTTTACCGTCTTATTTCTATCATCAAACAAGATTAGTTTTTCATGGGGAGGTGGGGTAACACCAATGTACCACAGAGCTTCTGTAATGTTTATGATTCACACAGGATAACAAATCTCAGTATAAATGACAGATGAGAGAAGCTACTCAATTTATGCACCGACTTTATGCCAGTTATGAGTAGAAAACATCAAAACTTTAATTAGCCATTATTTTGTTTATCCTACCTTGCATCACCATCTACCTTGCTGTCTTATGTGAATGCAGTGCGTCATTTTAATCGCCAACAACTTGGGAATTCACAGCCAATAGCCAACTTCACCGCATAAAAGCAAACTATTTTATCTGTAATAATTTTAAATGTTCTGATTTGTACATGAGATGGGACAGTAATGGTACATATTGACTTGATTTTAGAAAGAACACAAACAAATGCCTCTTTGAGTGGCTCCATACATAAGAAACGCATTTTCCACATGATAAAAGAGTTTTTACCAACATGCCAATTGGCATTGGATTAATATTACCTAAGGCTATTTCTGCTGCTCGTTTTATAGGAGGTAAAAGGTGCAGGACTCTCTACTGAAGCGGGAGCTTGCAGTCGATAAAACTGACTCACATGGTGCATTCGGATGGGACTAAAATCACTGAGAAACGGCAGTAAAAATTACCACCCAAGCTCCTTACATAAAACTAATCCTATCCAAATAGGGGTTTAGTGTTTTCTTTGTATTTTTTAAATAAATTATTATTTTAGATATTTTGTTACACAGGCCAGCCTACTCACTTGATGATCTTGTTCTCAAACTGCTTTGCGCAGCGCCACTGCCGGATGCAGCTCAGGCAGTAGGTATGGCAGCAGCTAGACAGGATGCCGAAACGCCGCTCGGACGGAGACGCCTTCTCATACACCACCTCCATGCAGATGCTGCACACCTTGTCCTGGCTATGCTGCACTGCAAAAGCCTTTTCCATGTCCATCTCAAAGGCCATCATACACATCTGCAGAGGAAGAAGCTCAGGCTGAAATGATCTTCTCTATTACAGATGCGATCTTAATACAGAGCCTTAATGCACATGCTATTAAGCTCAATTTTGACCTTAATAACTTAAGAGAAGCTACGTTGGTACTTTTCCAAATGATGTCATGTCTAAAGCAAAACACTTTTCTGAGTGCATCTTGCATATTGTCAGTTCGTAAAAACACAGACCAGCCGCATTTTTCATTAAAGTAAGTTCATTTTCAGTACAGTGTGTGAAATATTGAATATAAATCATTGTGCCCGGCATTTTTATGGCAGTTTTTAAATGTGGCATTAATAGAGCTTTGTGTTCACGTGTCAAAATATTGTGATATGTATCATATATGGTGAACATGTATTTACGTATCATAATGCAATATTTTACATATCGCCCATCCCTACATTTATGTATCAGCAGATATGCACTTCGACCACACTCTTAAAAAAGGTAATTCAAGAGTTTTTTATAAAAGAAAATGGTTCTATATAGCACCAAAAAGTGTTCTTCTATTGTTACAATGTCAAGCTTGTAATAAGAAAAGAGCCCCCTCTGGTGCTATATAGAATCCTTTTTTAAAAAGGTTCTATACAGAACCATCTACAGCACCGTCTCCATCAAACTGAAGAACACTTTCACGATGCAAAGAACCCTTTAATCATGCAAAACGCTCTTTGAGTGTTCATGGTTCTATATCTATATTTCTTTCCTAAATAACTCTTGAAAAAACATCTTTTTTAAGTGTGCACTTATCAATGTTCAACACATATTAAGACCATTGATAACTAACAGGCTATAAAAATGTACTGTATTCTTAGTCCACAAGATGGTTTCCACCAGTCCTGCTGTCGGTAAGAGTGACTGACAGTGGATAACACCATCATCCTACACAGAGGGTTAGACTTCCCATTCAGGGAGGAACACCACTGTTATGCCAACAGAACTTGGGCTAGACTCCCAACATTTATCATTGGCTAAATATGTAAACTTAAGAAAGTTTTTTTGAATGCTGCCTAGCCCACTTCCCCATTCTCTTTTGCTTTGGTGAGTGTAAACTGTAGATCAAACAGAGAAGGTTCTTTTGGAGGCAGAATCCGTAATCAAGGGTAACAGATTGTGATATATTATAGTAAGTCATTGCAATACAATTGCAATAGAATCCTACTGTGTCAAGAATTATGGAGCCACTAGTGATTAACACCCCTACTGGATTACAGTGTGAACTATAATCCAGTAGGACTGCACCCCTATAACTAACTTGACAAAATAAAAACAGGAAAAGTTATTTATTACTGTAGATTTAAACAGGTATTTCCACTCACCTTCTCATGTGCTGCCCTCTGCTCTGGGTCATGAGGATGTAAAACCTGCAACCTGCAAATCTCACACATGTCGCCATGGAGATACGGGCAAGTGTTGCCATAGTGACACTGACCAGCAGCGGCGTAAGGACAGAGCTGTGGCTGGTGGGACACGTCAGGGTAAGGGCTGGCTGTGGCTGAACTCTCCAGACCTGAACGGATGGCATCCAGGTAGGTGTGAGGTTTGGCCTGAGAGCTGTCTCTGTAGTCCCAACAATCCAGAACCTCTGCACTTTCTCCACTGTAAGGCTGGCCTCTACTGTCACTGGCCAAAGCTAGAAGCAGAGAGTAGAATTAGAGGAACACAGCAGAAACTGGAAAAGGAAGATGCAATGATTCAGTCTGCCTCTGTCTAGGGTTGTACAATATATTGTTTGTTATTTGTGTTATCTGCCTTTTGATGTGCTACATACTGATATCGCAGAAGTCTGGAAATGAGCCTGTATACAATCACTGAATGTTTTACTGTGTGCTGTGAGCATCCTGACCAATCACAGATGGTTGTGGGAGTTCTAAAGAATCGAGGCTTTCACACTTTGGTTCAAAATAATGCAGTTCAGGCTTTAACCACATCACATCAATGATTCACAAATGTATTAACATTACAAGGTGTATCACAATGTGTAGCAATATAAGTGCAATACTTGGCGAGCAGAACTGCCTAAACTCTAAGTGCACCACTTCCACTACTAAAGTAGTAATTAGCTACAATAACTGTAAATTTGTGACTTATTCCTTCAGTATTCTTCTGCCATACCTCTGTCTCTCAGCACTATCGCTTTCTTAGTACTTCTGCCTGTACTTGGTGGAGGCCCTGGTCCTGGGACGGATGCTCCCGCACTACTGGCTCGGTTTGTGTGCTCCACAGGCGGTCCACCTCCCCGTCCACCAGGTTTGATGTGGTCATATCTAAAAATAAATAGAAAAAGGATACTTTACTGAAAGTTTATAATAATAAAACTACACCTGTGTCCCATATAGGAACTTTCAGCATTATGGTTTAAGTGCACATGCAAGATATAAACACTTTAAAAAGTGGCATTCTTACCTGCAACGGTCACCATACGCACACATGCCTCTCTGGTAAAATTTACATATTGTTGAGGGTTTGCTGGTTGCCAGATCGTGTGAGAACATGCATCTGTTCCCCTCTCGACAAACGCCATGAATAAAATATCTGCACAGATGGGGGGAAAAAGAAATATGTTAGAAATACATACCTAACTAGCTTATTTCACTGATACCCCTGTGGAAGCAGTTAAAATGTTTTCTCAGTCAGCCAGATGTGACAACACTACATAACAGCTGTTACCTGCAGGCTGAGTGACTTCTTTAATGTCTTGCTCTGAGAGGGCTGGTCACTAAAACCCACAAATCTAGACTGCTTGCTGTGCAGCAAAACCTTTTTAGTATTGGAACATTTTTGCTCTCCAAAACTAAAACATTGTTGCGTTTTTAAAAACACAACCAATCATGAATTTGAGTTGGGGTAAGGGCTGGCTGACACTGAACTGGTTCAAAATTTGTGATGTTTTGGTCAGTCCACAATATCTTGTCATAAGGCTGAAAAATTAATCATGTTTATACCAAAAACACAATTTGAAACATTGCAATTTACAATTCGCAAGAGCTGCAATTTTTATTATAGCCTACATTATCAACAATATTGTCTTAGCATGTTTTAAGCTGGGAATTTTTTTAATCTAATAACATGGAGCGTGTGAACTGTAGATAAGTTAGATTAATCAGAAGCAACCAAACATCTATTTGGTGTGACATCACAACCACACCAAACAGCTACTCTAGTGTGCTATGTTTAGTGTTCAAGCCATAAGCCAGAAAAAGTGGATGTTTTGCTCTTAATGGCCAAAAAACAAAGGCCTGGACTTAATCTTTCAGGGAAATTTTACCAATTTGAACTACAGGTCACAATTAGGAACAGAAAAATAGATATTTTTCCCAAAATTGCGGTGCCCTACTTAGGAGCATCATGTCTTTTTAATTACACTGATTATTATTCTCATTATTATTCTGTTCAGTGTCAGGAATTTAATGCTCCATCACTACAAACATGTCCTCCTGTAAAGTGCTGTGCAACATTGATGAAATTTAATAACACAACTAATAATAATAATAATAATAATAATAATAACAATAATAATAGTAATACTTTCCAAATATACCACAGTACCAGATGATGCTTAAATCTGCATTAATAAAGTTAATGAGCTCACGTTTCCTTAGTGCTGCTATTCTATACTAAATGAATGTCTAATAAACCTGATATACACCCTTAAAAAAGGGTTTACTAAAGGCAGTGGATATATATATACAGAACCATGCTCGAATGCTTAAGTGTTTTTTCACCATGACTGAGTGCCTACAGTATATGGTTCTTTAAAAAACACCCTTTGGTAAGAGTGTAGGCTGTTTTGATTGGACTGTTTTGTTCTGTTTATGTTTATTCTCTAAAAGGGTTACACTGTACTATGAACATTACCCGGATACAAATCATACATATAGAAAGAAAAAAGTACTATTTCTTTCAAGTTACTTTGTAAGTATATTGAAGTGTTCCTTCAAAACAACCTTAACTACGCAGTAGAAGATGACATACACTCACTGCAGTGAATGATCAGATCCTGGATCTGACAAAATAGAATTAAAAAGCAAAACAAACCACTTTGGCAACATATTTTGGATAGAAACGAAATATCTATCAAACGTATCGATACAACTGAAAAGCAATAGGTTATATGTCAGTATCACAGTATATCGCCCAGCACTACCACAGCACCACTAGCAGTATCAACTAATCGCTCGTATTTCTGTTTATTTGTGACAAATCTCTCACTGTTTAGCATTGAACTGGTTTGATTTTTTTGGATAAAGTGTCGTAGATGAGCCTGAAATTGGCTTCCTATTCGCCAGCTTCTTGTTCGAATTTTCCCGTTCCACCTTAAATTGTTCAGCAATTACAATCTGGCGCCTCAGGAGCCAGAACGTGACTGCATCACCATTTAAGGTGGAACAGGAAAATTCGAACAAGAAGCTGGCGAAGAAGAAACTGACTTCAGTGTCGACGACAGTAGGTACACTACTGTAGCATTTAAACCTAGTGTTTGGGGCCGAAACCGAGAATCGAGCGCGAAAACTGTAACTTTGGGAAGACGCTCGTTAAAGAAAACAGTTCGGTCACGTTAAACGCAGCGAGCTGAGCTAGCCGGCCAGCTAACACCGCACCATTTTGTAAAGCGTCAAAGTCAACGGTGACATTCTCACAAACGTGTACGGCTCCTCTGCTCTTTGCGCTCTATATCGCCAGTATGTACATCCAGCTGTTTTACCTGCAGGTGACTTGCTTTGTAGACATTTCTCACTCCACATATGCGCAATTTATATTTTTATTCCCGGCCCCCCTTTTCATTTATGTGCAGCACTCCGCTCTTTCCCACCATACACCAGACAACACGGAGTTATTGGTTCCGCGCTGCAGGTGTTGCCGACATTAAATACAATAAAAAGGTACACCGCGATATTCGACACGCACGGTATTGTTATCGTGGACACTTTGAAATATCGTCTCTGCAATTTAGTCAAACAAGTTGCACTTTCACCAGAGGTTTAATTTGGCGAAGGTTGCTCGTTTTATGTGGGGTATTTTGGTAAAGTTGCCAGTCTGGTGATATCAGTTCATTGTGCAGCAGTGTTGACTCCTTTATGAGTGTTTACATGCAATTATTAATCTGATCTCTCATGTAACGGCAGTTTATTATCCTAATTTTTATTTGATTTTTGATTTAATCATTAATTGCTTCTATTTTAAAATCTGTTGTTTTAATCTTGTTTTAATTTCCATTTCCTTTGCTTTATGCTAATATTATCCGTGTATTTGAAATATCTTTGTATTTTCTCATGTGTAAAACACTTTAAATGACTGCAGTGTATGAAAAGTGCTATATAAAAAACTTGCCTTGCCTTATCTTGCCTGATAACTACAGAAAATCAGATTTTATCAGTAAATCGTTCAACTTGTTTACATGCACTTGGGTAATTAGATAATGGGGAAACTCTGAGTCTACATGAGTCAGGCAATAATCGGATTTCCCAGTAAACTTACAGAAGAAGACGTGATGTAAACGTAATGTAAAACTCAAACTTTATGTCATAATATTATCTAGAAGATGAAGAACATTCAAATTCTTCATTTCATCAAGCATGTAGTTGGTTTCTGCATCACTCCAAAAGTGTTTGTTGGTGTCTCGCAGGTGCTGTGCTAAATGTGGCTTGTAGCAACTTCTTTCCTCGACAGTTTTTCACATGTGCAAACTGAGAAAAACCTGTCACTGACACACTGTGTCACTGGCGTAATGAATTCCACTAAATATCAGGAGATTTTTGCCCAAACGGCGCCCGCTTTTACCAAAAGGCTTGCATGTCTACCATGAAGCAGAGATGCATCGCTGGTGCTGACCTTCCTGCCATCCATGCTGTGTTATGTGACTTTCTGCTTTGTGTCAATAAAAGAGCACAACTCACAGAATCATGGCCTCCCCTGTGGCTCACTCTGTGCCTGTACCACAGTATAACGGAACTGGAAATGTTCTGCATGGAGAAAGGGTCCAAGAATTCTCAACAAATGTTCTTCTACCTTGTTAAGCAGCTAAGTGCTGTTATTCTTGCTTTGTAATGGGGTTAACGGAGGTGCCAATATTTTTTAAACCTATATTTTAAAAGAAAAGTGTTAATAAAGAAAACTTTTTTTTGCTCTCAGAACACAGCGTAAAAATAAACGTATACAGCTTATGCCCAAAATATCACTCACTGCATGTGTGGTTTATTTAACATATTGATTTTAGCTCATTTTCATGAAGGGTGCCAATAATTCTGGAGTTGACTGTATATGATCTTTTACATGTAGTTTTTTTGTTCCTGCAAGATCGTAATAAATATCGTTAACCGTGATAAAATACTCGGTAATTATCATGATACTACATTTTTGTATTTCAGATAAACATTAACCACAGGCCAGTAAACGTTTTATAACAAGGTTCCAAAGAGCTTTTTCTTGGCCTTATTACATCATACGAATGTAACCGTGCAGGTAATAAACTGTAATAAGCTTTTTCAGAGAGCTAAACGCTGACCCTGGGCCAGTTTCTATATAAACTGTAGCTTTATGAGAAAGCGTTGCTCTTCCGCACTGGTTTTCCACAAACCCCGCAGGAAGGCGGGACAATACAGGTTAGTGATTCACGATTCCGGGTTTTCTGGAGTCGACTCCGATTCTCGACTCCTGCTGCTGGAATCGATTGGAGTCGACTCTTCAACTCCAAAACTAAGAGAGCTTCAGAGGTAAAAGGTAAAGGGATTACAGTAAATACAAAACCACACTAAACGTAGTTTACTCATTTTTTAAGTAACTGCAGATTATAAATTAGTGATATAATTTCACATATTTCACATGATGAGCTCGAGTTTCGACGAGAACCTCAGAGTGATGTACAGGGAAAACCATTACTGTAGTCATAATTCTATAAAAATAAACCATTGTTAGACAGTTAACCAGATTTAAAGTTAAATGATGAAAAATTTAGCAGCTGAATGTTACCCTGTTCCTTTTTCCACGAAGCAGAATTCCAGTTTTTATCTATATCTTTCCAGTTATCCAGTTAGCAGTTATCTAGCTAAATAGCGTACATATGCGAGGACATAGTTGCATCTCCATTTAGGGCGGAACGGAACATTATTTACTGTTGTTTTGTTTTTGTTTTTGTTCCTTGTGCAATTTTAAATCCTTGTTTATTGTAGCCCGAATCGTGAAAATGAAGAGTGGAGAATGGTGTACTGTAGAGGCAGACATGCTAAGCTATATGCTTTAGCTACAACGGAACACAGATTCGAAGAGTCGACTCCAAACATATAGACTCTCAGAGTCACTGGCCAAGAGTCGGCTCTGCCTCCCAGACGTGCTGGAGCCGAAGAATCGACTATTTTGGAATCGACTCCTCATAACCACTGGAGGTGGGGAAAAATGACAACAGCCTTTGACAAAACCGTGGTTACGTTCAGACACTGTGGGAAAGATATCTATACTTTTTCAGATCAAAACGCCACCGTATCCTCACTGTGCCTACAGAATCAAGCATGTGCTCGAAAACATCAGTGTCCTGTTTGTCAGGAGCCTCTCGTACTTGGACTTTTAGACGCACCTGTGGCTCTTCCATGTCCGTTTACGAACGGACACAAAGCTCCGTGCTCATTTCTCATAGGAGCGAACGACGGACCGTCATTTCTAAGGTACGTTTAAAGGGGAATTCCACCAACTTTTCAAAACGTGTTCATAATTAAACAGCTAAGATGTAAAAAATGTCATTCAGAGTGGTTTGGTGTGAAATGCTCTGTTCTAGAGAAACTTACTGAGTTAGAATTGTCCACAGTGGTGGTGACAGGAACCAAACGTCCACCTCTAAAAGCTCCCTCACAGAAAGTTAGTACATGAAATGGATAGAGAGATATACGCTGCCTGATGTCTGAGACATTGTTTGAGGTAAGAATTTGGCCTAAAATGTATACTTTTAAAAGCTGTTCATGGCAGACCTGTACATGTGGGGTGTTGTGAGGCAAAACAGTCCCCTATTTTTTCAGATTTTCCCTTATTTTACCATCATCAACATTCCACATAAAACTCAGAAAATATGTGTAGGTTCACTGGTGGTTTTGGATAGTAAATAAAATGGTTATATTCATGTTGTAGTCATGGTGACCCCTGGTTCCCATCACCACCACTGTAAAGACATCTCTATAAGTTGCTCTACAATGAATCATTTCACATCAAACCACTTTAAATGACTTTGTTTATATCTCAATGACTGAAATAAGCAAAAAATTTGTAAGTGTAATTCCTTTATTCAAGAACTGCGAGTAAACTGTAAACTTTTTTTTACACCTCTAACACTTTTTTCCTCTTAAGAGAAGGCCATGACACAGAGTTGCATGTTGGAGTCTCAAACTCAAAAGGTAGGTGAACTAGCTAGTCTTTTTGCTCCTCAGCTTACGGTAGTGCTCAAAAGTTTATGAAATTATTCTATTAAAAAGCCCATATTGTGCATTTTCTTATATTTTGTCCTTTTCTTTCATCTCCACTTCTGTTTGTATGGCTTTTATGTACCAAACACAGTTAGAATTGTCATAAGACTGATATATGTAAATGAGCTCTGTTCTGATTGGCTATCCTGTATTGCGCCTCATTTAAAAAGCATTCAGAGCTGAAACACTCCTTATAACTGAGTAGGCGGAGCTAAGCTGCTGTAGGCTGAAGAAGTGGATATAGTAGTTGTAGTAGTTGTTTTCCATGCACCACAAAAACAAAAAATTCAGAATGGGCTGTTTTGCGGCTTAGTTTCCATATATGGACTGTGTAGACTGGAGAGTGAACAGCACATTTGAAAACTTTAACCATGTATACATACTACATCAAACTTTCAATAAGAGGGAGGAAAATTTGGTTCTCCAAGATAAGAGCCCTTAAGACATTCCAACTTAACAGAAAAAATGTTAGTGGCGATCTTATAAACAAATATTAAATAAAACTATAAAGAAATCTTTAACAATATTCTGGTGCCTGGCCTAGTATGTACACTCACTGAGCACTTGATTAGGAACATCTCTACGCCTGCTTAATCATGCAGTTATCTAATCAAGTCTTGAGGTGGATGGGCTACAACAGCAGAAGACCATGTTGGGTTCAACATCTGTCAGCTAAGAACAGAAAGCTGAGGCTGCAGTGGGCACAGGCTCACCAAAACTTGACAGTTGAAGACTGGAAAAACGTAGCCTGGTCTGATGAATCTCGATTTCTGCTGAGCACACAGATGGTAAAATCAGAATTTGGTACCAACATCATAAATCTACAGACCCAACCTGCCTTGTTTCAGCAGTCCAGGCTGATGGAGGTGGTGTAATGGTGTGGGGAATGTTTTTTTGGCACGCTTTGGTCCCGTTAATACCGATCAATCACCGCTTGAATGTCACAGCCTGGTTGAGTATTGTTGCTGACCATGTGCACCATGTGCATGGCCACAATTCACTATCTTCTAATGGCTACTTCCAGCATTGTCATGCACCATGACACAAGCAAAAGTTGCCTCAAACTGGTTTCATAAACGTAACAATGAGTTAATTGTTCATCAGTGGCCTTCTCAGTCACCGGATCTGAATCCAATAGAACACCTTTGCAAAGAATGGGAGATTCACAGCATAAAAGTGCGCCTGAAAAATGTTCAGGAGTTGTATGATGCAATCATGTCAACATGGACCAGAATCTCAAAGGAATGCTTCCAACATCTTGTGGAATCCATGAATCCATGAAGAATTAAGACTGTTCTGAGAGCAAAGGGAGACCCTAACCCAGTATTAACCTATTGTCCCTAATAAAGTGCTCCGTGAATGTAACTCTACACAGTATTAAGTTAAAATAAGGTAAAATTGCAGCAATTATTATTATTATTATTATTATTATTATTATTGTTATTATTATTATTTATTAAAACATTTTAAACACTTCTGTATTCTGACAGTTTGTTGTGCCAGTGTTTTGTGTGGAAATTTTCTTATTACACTGTTTTTGATCTATAGGTTTAGTCTATAACTACACATTGTCAGGAGTCCAGAGGGACGAACATGGATGGGAACAGTGCGTCTGTATACAGCTGGTTCCGCCTTGGAGAGATTCCCTAATAGAGTCATGGGATAAAGAACTGCAACTGTTTTCATCACTTCCAATCTGGGCTCCAGAGAGGTATGTGAATTATTAATACATAAGCAATGAGTGAAAAATGAACTGTATCAACATGCACATTTCTTGATTTGCATTTCAGATATACACTCTTTCAAGAAGATGGTTCTTCAAAGGTTACTTAGTAAAGATAATGGTTCTATATAGAGCCATAAACACTCAAACAACCATTTGTGTGCCTATAGAGTTCTTTGCATCATGAAATCCGTCTTCAGATTGATGGAGAATGTGTTGTATATCGTTCTAGATAGCAACTTTTTGAAAAGGGTTCCGTATAAAGCCTCCCAGCATTGGGCTGTGGAGCAGTGGAACTGTGTTCTCTGGAGTGATGGAGCTCCATCCAATACCTTTTGGGATGAGCTGGAGTGACTCAGAACTGACCATCCAACATCAGTACCTGACCTCAGTAATGCTCAATCAAATCCTCACAGCAATGTTCCAACATCTAGTGTAAAGCCTTCCCAGAAGAGTAAAGGCTGTTACTGCAGCAAAGGGGGACAAACTCCCTGTTAATACCCTTCATTACAGAAGAAATTCTGGATAAGCAGGTGTCTACAAACTTTTGGACATATAGTCTATATTGCAGAGGCTGTTATTAACTGTGATTGTTAGATGTCCAATGCAAAATGTTAATTCCAATGTTTTTACTTCACAGGTTTCATGAAGAGAGGGAGTTTGGATCTTGTTGTTATGGATTTGCCCTGACATTCATAAATCATATGCGATCACTGGACAGTAAAGACTCTCTTAGTCGAGATGAGTTCACCACTTTACATGTTCTACCCAGAATAAAACCTGCCTCCATGTACATCAAGGTGTATGAAGAAATACAGCGGCATGGTTTGTACATAGTTAACAAATAAAATATCTTCGGGTTTGTCAGTCCTTGAGGTAATTTTTCATGAAAAAATCACTCGTTCAGCAGTTTCCGTTGTTGGGTTGGATATATTTTTGTTATTTACCAGCTAATTCCAATATGAACATACATCATCTAGAAGATGAAGAATATTTAAATCTTTCATTTCATGTTTCATGAGGTGTTTTGTTGCGTCTCGCAGCAACGCTACTTGCTTATTTCTGGTACCGGCATCTGCATCTGTTCTCACGCATGCACAGACTGAGAAATCCAAAAGAAATCAGAGTAAGAGTTTACACGCACTGAGAAATCTGATTACTGAGCTAAAATCCAGCCTCTTCATCAGATTTCTTAATCGTTTTTCTAGATCGGAGTATAGTGTTTACATGACCATTTGAATAATCGGATAACTGCAGAAATCCTATTATGATCGGATTATTGAGTGCATGTAAACGCACTGATTGATTTAATGAAATGGAAGTTAGCAATTAATTTTTTTTTATTGTAAATGCATGAAGTTAATGTAGCTAATTAAAGACTGTTTGAAGCTGAGTACTGGCTTGAGCATCCATTAAATATAAAAGGATAAGTGATGCTTCATTTACTGTCCTTTTATTAATTATATGATGTCACAAATACGACAATAAATCATATACTTTTGTTCATAGATACAAGTCATATTAAGGGTTGTTTGATTAAAATTGAGAATGAAAATCTCAGATAACTTTAAAGGGCCTTATGATTCTGATCATGATTGGATGTACTTTAAAAACGTTACATATTTATTAGTGCATTATTATAACGTGATGTAAGTGATGTGGTTTCGGGGTCATGAAAGTCTGCCAACCCTAATATATTCAGAAACGTTAAAGCACATGATTCAGAATGACGTTCACTAACAATCACAATGGATGTTGAACAATAACTGTAATGAATATAAATATATACACTGACTAGCCACCTCATTAACTACCCTCCTTCTACACTCAGGGGGATCCTGACCCTTGAACAACAGGGTGAAAGGAGGCTAACAAAGTATGCAGAGAAACAGATGGACTACAGTCTGTAATTGTAGAACTACAAAGTGCTCCTATATAGTAAGTGGAGCTGATAAAATGGACAATGAGTGTAGATACAAGGAGTTGGTTTTAATGAAGTGGCCGGTCAGTGTATGTGGACAATACACAAGTATAATTCAACGATAACCTGATAAGTTCATGACCACCAATAATTGTTCAGTCATTTATTTTTTTAATATGACTTTTTCTGGTAAATACCTGCAATACCAGTCAAATACACTTACTTTGATACACCTACTCATAGAGGTTTCCTTATTTTTTACTGTTTTTCATATTTTAGCATAGCAAAGGCATTAACACTTTTCCATACGTGTTAATAATACATTGACTGAAAATAGTCAAAATGATCTATTTTGGATTGTTCAAAGTAGCCCCTTTGAGTCGATGCAGCTTTGTACATGAAGAGCATCATGGGATACTAACTGGTTGCTGAAACTTTTGTCTTGAACTTGTTGACCTGGTTTCACAGTGTTAAGGTTTAGAAGTCAACTACTAAAAATAATAATGAGTTTTGTTCAGAATGAAGCCTGTATGAATGACAGTATTTAGACATCTGGCTGCTATGAAAATGATCATATGTCTTGTGTTCTTTGTAAAAGAAAACTGCTCTTGGTTTTTGTATCAACTTTGGGCTTTAATAAACAGTTGTATCTTTATATATCGCTGCTGTCAGAACAAAACCTTGTATCTTCATTTTTGTCATTTTTTAGTTTCTGACATAATTTGAAAGTACCCGTTGCCCTTTACAAAGTATGTTAACTTTATGAAGAATGGACCAAAAGAAACAGCCCAAAATGACTTGGAAAAATGTCTGGTTCCATTGACTTACATTAAAGGTAAAGTGTGTTTTTTCTTTCTCCTGTAAAATTATCATTTTGGAAATACAAGGTTTTGTTCAGTGTTATCTATAAGTCTGAATCTACAGACCTTCCTGTCTTTGTGTAAATATATCTGCCCCCCCCTTACTGGCAATGAGCTAAGCCTAACACAACACTCACTGCATTGTCCGAGGCCGCACCCTGTCTAATTAGATTTTTTCACTTGACTACTATTACTTTACCTGTTGTTTCCTTTAGATAATCCAGTTTCTTGCCACACAATTTCCCTAGTAATTAACTACACTCAATTGTACCCACACCCAGACACACCTACTCATGGATGAGTTTTCCTTATTTGCTCTATTTTTCACATTTAGGAGGCATCATCAGGCAGAAAAACTTAAAAAGAATAGATGCAATTGTATACTGAGTAAAAAAACAAAATCAAAACATCCTAATTTTTTGCCCACTCTTGGAATTCTTTGAACCAGCTTCATAAGGAGCCACTTCAGACGATCAGGCAGGTGTGTCCAAACTGGTAAGATCTTTAAAACTCTGAAAAGGAAAAGTTAATTCATTTGATATTAGGTAATGGGTGTGTCAAATGCGGTTGTATTCAATGTTGTAGGTTTATAGCTAGCAAAATGTATATATATATATATATATATATATATATATATATATATATATATATATATATATATATATATATATATACAGCAGTGCTGCTGGACTGAGAATAGTCCATTAACCAAAAATATCCAGTCAACTGCGTCCTGTGACCACTGATGAAGGACTAGAGGATGATTAGCTCATACTGTACAGCAAGAGATGAGCGATCATCTCTGGCTTTACATCTACAGGGTGGACCAACAATGCAGGTGCGTCTAATAGAGTGGACGGTGAGTGGACACAGTGTTTAAATACTCCAGCAGCACTACTGTCTGATGCACTCGTACCAGCCCCCCACACACTGACACACCACCACCACGTCAGTGTTACTGCAGTGCTGAGAATGATCCACCACCCAAATAGTACCTGCTCTGTGAGGGTCCATGGGGGTCCTGACCACTGAAGAACAGGGTAAAAGGGGGCTAACAAAGTACACAGAGAAACAGAGACTACAGTCTGTAATTGTAGAACTACGAAGTGCACCTATATAGTAAGTGGAGCTGATAAAATGGAGAATGAGCATAGAAACAAGGAGGTGGTCTTAGTTATGCCGGTGTATACACATATATTTCACACACACACACACACACACAGTGGTACACTCAGACTGTTTGAAGGGCAGGTGCGAGAATATATAAAGGTCAGGTCACCTACTACCTGCGTAAAAAGCTATGATGCATCATGTATGATGAAATAGTCTTTATCGTTGATTAAGATTAACCTTATGTGAGTAGGCAATCCAGATTACACAGGGAACTATAAATCTTTAAAATGTTTATTTCACAAACATTTATGTGGTAAAACACAGAGCAAACTATTTACATTTGTTTCACAAACACAGCAGACATGGTAATGTTAATGAGAAAGCTGTGATTTGGGAGCTTAGTAGTCAGGAGTAGCCAAGCTTAAGTTAATTGAAAAAGCATTTCACTCCAAACTTGTCCTATGGACATCTTATGCAAATTACCCTAAAGTAATATCCCCAGGGAAGGAGTTTTTCATTTCTGCTTTATTTCCAAATTTACAGGTTAGCATAGAACCAACCAAGCAAGGTTCAGTTAGATAGCTCCTTAGATAGGCATCCAGACTGTGATACAGCTATCTGTAAACACACTTGCAGTGTACACTACTACATTACTACATTAGTATTCAGTAATGCATTATTGCTAAAACTCAATCTTTTCAACCTCAAACAAAGCTTGCTGAGAAAGAGAGAGAGAGAGACTATTACATGTTATTCATTTTTCAAAAAAAGATGAATACACATATATAACAGAACATTAAACAGAAGCCCTGCGATTGAGTGGCGACCTGTCCAGGGTGTTTCCTGCCTTCCGCCCATTGACCGCTGGGATAGGCTCCAGCTCCTTCCACAACCCAGAAGGACAAGTGGTTTAGAAAATGTGTATGTGTGTGTATAAACAGAAGCCTCAGCTACTAAAAATAATTTATTTTCATATTTAGTGTATTTACCCTTCACCTTTATTACAGCTTCCAGTCTTTTCAGGAGACTCACTTTCAGTTTCTCAAAGAAATCTGCAGACACACCTCCAAAGTTCGGTCTTAAGTTGGTTCAATGATATTTAGGTAAGACAGAAACACCTGTGGATTTTTTCAGGTCTGAAGCGAGAGTGGAGCTTGATTTTCTCCTCTCTCTCAAAGACTAAAGCTTTAAGTGCCGTTTATCTGATCCAGGTGGTTGTTAGGAGCCCCATTTTCTTTGTATTTGATTTTCTCCATACATTTACAAGTGTATTATCTTATATCTAATCTCCTCAGAAATATCTTCTAAAAAAATAAACAATTTGTACTTTTGACTAAAAATTGAACAAATGAAGAGTGGTCTCTTCGGTACTGTATGATACAGTGTGGCTATATGGCTGTATCTATATGTGTGAATTTGTTTTTAGACACATGTTCTGACTCTTCGATATGGCAGAAATTGTGCTTTTCATCATTCTAATTTACAATCATCATACCAACATAACAGAAGCCCTTTAGCTTTTTAACCAAAGAAAGTATGACATTTTATGTCAAACATGGACCCCAAAAAGTGTTTATTACTACTACTTTGAAGAATGAATTAACATATTATTAAACCTACACACAAATAAATACAACCCACTTTAACCATCGCAAATATTGCATACATGGGATAAAAAATCAGAATAGTAGAAACTGAATAGTTTAGTTAGAAATGTTAAGACGCTGCTATTCTCCTGTTAACTCATTCTAGATAGAACCAGGAACTCTACATCTACACAAAGGCCAAAGCAATTTGTATGACAACATGCAGTTTGCACGTGCATAAGCATTAAGGAAAAAAGTAGCTGTGAAAAAGGACACTACTGTTCCATAGGTGTAGGGTTAGCTGCAACCTGATAGGTTTGTTACAAATGACCAGTGGACGTCAGACTGTTGAAACACACCTGTTGGCCTCCATTGCGTCCGGCACCAGACTGCCAGAATGAAGCAGGAGGTTGTGGAGAGAAGTCTGAGGTGCTAGCCGCTCCCATGGTTGCTGCCGATGGATAAGAGTGTGATCAAGTTCAGTCACTGTGACAAGGACATCTTTTGTTTCTTCGTCCCAGAGCAATGCCCTGAATGTGGAGTGAGCTTCAGTGGCAGGAGGCTAGAGGAAGCCCCGGTCAGCGTACCCAACCCTTTCTCCAATGGACATAAAGCACCATGTGCTTTCCTTGTTGCCCCAACAGAAGAAAATATCCTCAGGTATGGAATATGACTTTAGAGTTAATGTGTTCCTTGAATTAAAGTAAGATAATAATGATGTATGAAATTTGACTTTTTTTCAGAGAATTCGATGGTGGATCAGATCTGCACACTGGAATTACTGACACAAAGGGTATGTAGATCCTCCTTGGTTTGTTTCTAAAGATCATGATTGATTTTGCTGTATCTGTCACTTTCACAGATTCATCCAGTGCTTTAGCCCAGTATCAAATAGTATAGTTCAAAATCTGCATTCACATCCTAATAAGTAGGTGATTTAGTAAATGTAAAGATACTATAACATTTTATGTGTACTAATGTTTTATAACACCAATTTACTGTGTAGGATATACAGTCTGATTATATAAATGTACTGAAAGTACTAAATATTGTGCTTAAAAGGCTCAACAGCCATAATTTCTCATATGTGGCTGGATATAGTGTTTCATTCCAATAATGCTGTATATGCATTTTTAACAATTTTGATTATAACAAGCTTTTGAAAAGAATAGCATTTCATGTCTAATGGAGAACATTTTTAATTCTCTAAAAAAGGCAGTATTAATTATAGTACAGCATTAATATTTTTTGTATGTGTAAAGCACGACACGTATCACATATCTATATTATGTTTTTGAACGAAACCCTTCACTTACAGTACTGTGCAGCAAAACAAACTGTTTACAACAGTTTGTTTAGGCAATAAGTGTGTTTCTAAAAATTCCATGTAAAATTGGAATGAATTCAAACATTATGCAGTAAAAAGAAACAAGAATTTCGCTGCTGTCGGAACAGAACCTCGCATCTCCAAAATGATAACTTTATAGGAAAAAAAACATACTTTACTTTTAATGTAAGTAAACTGAACCAGACTTTTTTCCAAGTCATTTTGGATCACTTCTTTTAGTCCATTCATCATGAAATTTACATACAATGCATTTTCAAATAATGTCAAAAACTGAAAAACGAAAAACAAAAATGGAAACACAGAGTTTTATTCCGACAGTGGTGATTTATTGTTTTCAAAAAAGGTCAGATGATGTGAGCTAATTAGTAGAACAGGTTTATTGCCAGACTTCTTGATGCCTCAGTCTTTGCATAGTTCTGTTTCATTGGATGTGGTTAAGAGAGAATGAAATACATAAAAGCAGCACTTACTGTATTACTTATTCTAACAGTGTTTTTCTAAACAAACATGGTTGCTGTCCAATTCAACAGCTTTTTGTAAATACAAAATACTATATCACTGTTGTTGGAACAAAACCTTGTGTCTCCAAAATGACAACTTTACAGGAGAAGGAAAAAACCTGCTTTACCTTTAATGTAAGTCGATGGAACCAGACTTTTTTCCAAGTCATTTTGGGCTGTTTCTTTTGGTCCATTTATCATGAAATTTACAGACAATGTAAAGGGCAACAAGCATTTTCAAATTCTGTCAACAACTGAAAAACGACAAAAATGGAGATACGAGGTTTTATTCCGACAGCAGCGATATATAGTTACCAGTAATATCTACAGTGCAGTGAAACCCCACATGCATAGAGTTCCTTGTTGTTTTGAAGGAGTGGTATACAACTACACCAAGACTGGGGTTCGCAGAGACCATCAAGGCTGGGAGCAGTGCATCAGCATTCCTTTAGTTCAGCCAGACATGTACAATCTCATCAATCAATGGGATCAATACCTGGAGAAATTTTCCTCCGCTCAAATGTGGGATCCACTGTGGCAAAGGTAGGCCTATATTTGTCGCATTGAGCAGCAACAGACACAAGGTTTTGATCGAGTGATCTGGTCTTCATCTTAAAGACATACTCGAGCATGTTTCAACCTAATCTCTATCTGCCACATCTGCATACAGTCAACTGCCAAAGACAAAGTGTTTTCCTATTCTGGCCTACTGGCTTCTATTATAAGGGTGTTTTAAGTCAACAGGTTTTCTGTCCTTCCATTAAAAACAGAGAAACTGTCTGTGGTAACGGAGATTAGGTTGAAGAAGGTTGGCATAATGCTTTGAAACTTCCAAGAATAAACGTGCAATTTTGTGTTTCTTCTGGATCTTCTTTAGACACAATAAAATCAAACTGTTGAGGCAGCACGTAGCTACTTTTTTTTTAGTATTTCTGTTTGTCTTTTTAAAGCCAAACTTCCCCTGTGGTCTTCTAACGCAGATGTGTCTGGTTTATGAGCCGCCGAGATGCTACAGTCCTTGCTCTTTGATCTATGGTGAAATAAGAAACTCCTCATCATTCAGAAGCTCCTTGTTTTTCATCTTTTCTCTACAGCTTTAACGAGGAGAACCACAACTGCTACAGCTACACTCTGATGTTCATAAACTGCGTCCTGGCCACCCAGTCAAAACGAACCCTCAGTAAAGACGAGTTTACACAGACTTTTGTTCTGCCACGTGTCAAAAGGGCATCCAAGTACAGCATGCTGTGTGGGGAGATTTCTCAGAACCATTTCTACATCGTAGAGAGTCCAAAGAGAAACTCACAGGAAGGTCAAAGTGATGAAGAAGAAGATCGAAAGAACAGTTTGTGAACTGGTGCACATGGTCTAACAACGCTAGGATATATATAACCAACAGAATGGTATCTGTGAGCGTGACAATTGCCTCAAGTATTTATCAGTGTTGTTTTCTTATTCATAAGGGATCTTGTATCAACGCTCTGCTTCAATAAACATTCATGGGTCTTGACATATCTATATGCCTGAACCTACACACCTGGCTTTCTTTGTGTGACGATATCCTCCACCTACTTACTGACAATGAGCTAAGCCTTACATAAGGCTCACTGCATTGTCTGAGGTCACACCCGGTTTAATTAGTTTCGGCCACTATCACTTTACCTATTGTTTCCTTCAGGTAATCCAGGTATAGCTGTGCCTTGAATCAACATTATTCAAAGATACAAAGGAAACTGCATGAATCAATTACATACAGTATGTTTATTAACATTCAAAAATGTTCAGTAAAATAACTTACTGGTAATCAAGAACAAAAACTCTAAAGATCATCCTGTTCAGTTCGTTCTCGTGAAGATATCCACCTGCTTACAATGAGCTCCTGTAACAAAACAAGCAAAGACAAGTCAAAAAGACATGCAAGAAATAAATATTAGGGATGCCCCAGTATGGAAACTGCAGACATCCAATACTTTCCATGTGCATATATGCTGAAGCTGATACATGAACATTTATAAAATGTAGAAATACCTTAGCACTTATTTGTTGAGGGGTTACAAATGCAGTAAAAATGAATATAATGCAGATATTTTAATGCAGTAGCCCAGTGTCATCTAAATATTTTGCTCTTCTGGAATATAATAAATGTGCCATCAAATACTGGTTTGAAATCTCAGTCAAATCTAAAATCAGTCCCATGCCGATATTCATTTTTAAGCAAATATCTTCTAATACTGATGATTCTGATATTACTGTGCATCCCTAATAAATATATGAACTAAACCTAATGCCAGCAGAAATATCTGACCTGAACTTTGACCCTTTTTAGGAACTCTGGCGTGGAAATCTCTTCTGTTTTCATGTCTGATGGCATGATCACATAACACAGCATCAGCTCCTGCAAAGAACACATAGAGAATGTTGACAAAATGAACTGTGATCCTAATGTAGGTTTGGTTAGAGCTGTTAGTAAGTTTGGTTAGAGGCGTCAGGTGATGATGGTTCTTACCTTTGAGACGTTACCGGTGGTTCGGCTCAGGGCAGCGAAAGACCTCCAGCTGAAGGGCCTTAGTGGAGCACCTTGAAACGACTCGTCTACTCTCTCCACCACCACAGAGTAGCTGCTCAACAACAGTAGAAGAACAGCTGAAATCATCTGAGCAAACCACACTAAATAGGTTTCTTAGGTATCCACAAGTATTATCGCCAGCCGTCTGAATATATCTTTCACAATGCTTGATAGTTACACATGAATCAAGAATTCGATATGTTTAAAACGGGTCATTCCAGCCTCAACAAACTGGGATAAGTGGTGCCTGTCTCACAAAGCATGTTCAGCTTAGTCAGACTTCCTGACCAAATTGCAATTTCATGAAACCTTAGAAATGCAGTTGCGGTTAGCTTGTTTTACAAAAGCTATTATCAACTTTCTCTGTTAACACAGATTTGGACACTCAGGCTGTTATTAATCCTTGTGAACATGAATGTGTGACATTTACAATGAACAGCCAATCATGTGAAACATCAGGAGGAGTCAAGCAGCATACATTTAAAAAGTAAATATGCAGAAAGTAGAGCATTCAACCACATTAGTGCTTACAGGAGTAACATTCTTGATATTTGGTTCACAAGAAAATCTAAGAAAATCTTTTTAAATGTGAGTTTTTTTCTTAACGTCATTCTTAAGAAGAAGCTATGAAAAATGGTTATTCTTCAAATAACTCTCTTATTTTTAACTATTTCTTAAGAATAATTCAAAGAACAAGTGGTATTCTTTACAATGGCCTCACACACACCTAGGCTGTAAGAGTTGACGAGGTGAACATCTAAATTTAGCAAAACACGGATGCTGCCTCTGCTACTCCCCATCCTCATCTCTTGCTTTCTGCCATTACCCCACAATTATTGTTTTTTTTTCCAATGAGGATTTTTTTTAGTTCTTGTTTACTAAATTTTTTTAAAGGCTTGGTTTGACATGTTTTCTCCATTTTGCTCCTCTGAGTGGATTAAATAATGGAAATAACAGTTGATACAAATACAAAATGTATCTTGCAGTGTTTAAGGCAATGTTAAGCTGTAAAATGTAACAGCCTACATAAGAAAACAATTAAGGAAATAATTAATTTTATCTTAAGAGAATATTTGAGAACTTCTTAAGTTTTTTTTTTTTCCCCCCCAAGAACTACATTTAAGTACGTTCTTACTTACCTCTTAGCGCTTGTCTTTAGAACCTTCGCAAGACTTTTCTTAAGAAAGCTTTTGTGAATCCGGCCCGTTTCCTTAACCGAAAAGCGATATTTTTCATGTGATTGACACCACAGATGTTACAAAGAGGAAAAAAAAGAGAGCCAAAAAGAACTAAAGGGGCTTGCCTCCATCAGAAGACTGTCCCTGATTGATCAGATGTTCACCTTAATCGGTGAAAAGTGATTGTTAGATGTGCAGCAGAAATTGCCATGTTGATGTAGTCCCATTAAAAGTGATGCACTGCTGTGAGACAGAAAATCCATGGTTAGATCAAACTAACCATAAATCCAAAGCCATAGATCCTGCTTTGTGAGACAGACCCCTGATTAAGACCACAGTGGAAAAGTTACTTTATGTTTCTTATTGTTTTCTACTTGCTTTTGTGAATTTGTTTGGACTAAACAGATTTTTGAATTACTCATCATATTCAGGTGTTGATTTCACTCCTTCTCTTCTACTCTAGGCTTGATTCACTGACACTGTTCCATTTACACAGAATTGTACTCTGCATCACAGCTTCATGTAAGGCTGAGATGTAGCAACAGGTTAGTTTCCAAAATGACAGCATCTTACTAAATTAACACTAACCTTGCATGATAAAATGGTGGTCCTTTCCGATAGAGCACTGTTGAAGAAAACAAAACGTTAAAGAGAACTTGAGCACTGTCGCTGGAACAAAAAAGACGTAACTCAATACAACTCCAAACATGAGAATCGTGTGTCCGAAGTGTGGCGGCCTAGAGGCCATGATTTCAGTCTCGTGCTCTCGAAGTTCACTGCCAAGAGTCAGCTTCCTGGCTCTGACATTAAGACACAAGGCAAACAAGTAAGGGGATCAAGGAAAGCAATGCTTGATCCGTCTGAATAATTCACCCATCATCCTCTAGTGCTAACGGAAAAACTCTCTCTCACTGATTACAATCAGGTGGCGTTCAACATCAAGTATTCCTGCAATGATCAGAGTTTCCCATTCCTGGTCCTAGACTCTCTTCTAGTGTTTTCCATACTCTAACACACACACTTGAACCTCAAGAGGGGCTTGTTAATATAGCTGGAGAGTCATGTATGTTGGGAGTAGGAAACACAAAGTATAGAGCTGCTTTAGAACCAGAGATGGCAAGGCCTGAATTCAGGTTACATCCACATTACAAGCCTTATGCTGCATTTACATTGCTCCAGTGTGTCAACACACTACATAGGATCCCATTTATTTTTAAAGGAAAGTGTCAGTTCCATCAGAAAAGGACTGTGTCGGATTTGGGCGGATGTGTGTCGTCCAAAAAAGGTGAGTAAATGAATCTTGCTACTGTGATACATTTACTCAATCAGGAGGTAGTTGATGTTTGCACAAGTTGTGTCTGCTGTTCAATATATGAAACAGTTGAGCTGCTTTTCAATCATTCCTGTGCAACATAGAAAATGGAAAAACAGCAACCAAAACTCTTGTTTTAACTCCGAAATTCTAAATCTGGGTGGGAAGATGTTTGTTAGGGTGTTAATATACCTGAAATCACTGATGTTGTGTGCAAGTGATAATCAATGCTCTCCTAAAATCCAAATCTGTCCAAGTTTAAGCTGTTTAATGTTTTGGGGAATATTAATGTAATTATGCATACAACACTGACATTCATATTATCATAAAAATAGAGTAGTTATTTAATTAAAATTAATTATTTAAAATTAATAATTAGTTAATTATATAAATACCGACCTAGCAAGTCTAAATTTCAATTGGATTTTGCAGAGAATACCCTCATAACACCCATATGTAACTAACTCAAGAGGGGGATGCTTTTTTGTATGCACACCAGGCCAATGTAAATGCAGTGTAGCTGCTCCATTTTTTGCCAAGATCTGATCTTTCCACCTAGACAGTGCTCTGCCTTGTTCACATTTGTATGGGTAAGTGACTCATATCTGCCCTTGGTGTGAACAGACTGCCCCGAAAAATAAGACATACATAGGACATTTGTGTCTCATCTCCCCCAAGTGTTTAGGTGTGACTGAACTTTCTTACTTAAATCTGTCCCATATTTAATCCCAGACTTGGGCACCCATCCTTTACTGCGGAAATAGTGATAGGCTGCGTAGGTGGTCTCAAAGTTGGGCTGCACTGAACAAAACATTCGCCAAACTTGAAGGACTGACAGTGGCTCCTGAAGAATAAATAAGCAAATAAATAAAAATTAATTTTGCCATCATGTAAAGATATTGTAATTGGGCAAACTCTACAAAGCATGTGGACAAACTTACCCCATCATAGTAAACTGATAAGCAGCCCAATGCATAAACCAGAAAGAAAGCCTGCAATATAAAAGAGCATGAGTGATGAGTTGAGAAGAAAAATATTTCCCAATACCTAAACTCAACTGTCTGCTTTATCAGTTGGTCTATGTGGGTGGAAACTGGTTCACTTTCGGATATCTGGGAATTACACTCCCAAACTGATGATTGCTTTCCAGGCCCTTTCATGTTCAATTAAAGTCAATGCTTTTCACTGAAAGTTGAAAACTACAACAGGGATGGTAAATAACCAGGCAAATAACCATTGCACACATTTATTTAAACATCATCTGTGACCCTTTGACTACATTCTTGGGTTTAATCTGTCTGTAATGAACTGGGTTTATTCATATTAATCAGCTGGAATATTAAAGTTCATCCTTAAGGGAGGCTTGTGTTAATATTAGCTTGTGGAGAAAGGGGCCACAGAAGAGCCACAGCTGAACATTTTCACAGCTTCATCAACTGTTTGTACTGGCTCAGAGCACTGCATTCTCTCTATCAAATCCAGCTGTAACAATATGGCTTAATTGAAGTATTTATCACGTCTCCACCTTGACAAGAAAACAAATCCGCCTATTAGTAGCAGGTCACTGTAACAGCATTGTGCAGCACAGCCCTGTTACAAGATGCAGCTGCACATAATGGATAATTATTAAAAACACAGAATAATGTATGTATGTTAAAAGAATTGCTTTACCTCTTCATAACTGAGCTGTAGGTATTCCATCATGTTAAAAGGGTTGATTCTGCAAACCAGCTTGCCTGTTCTCACCTTCAGAATGCAAGAAAAAATTTAACATTTAATGCATTCGTGTTTGGTACAGTATTAGCTTGATCATTTTTAGAGTTGAAAGCTAATTATTTCAGTGGTAAATCTGCTTTGGCCTTCAAAGTGATTTGAAATGCTTACAAACTAAAGCCATTCAGTGGCAAAGAAGTGTGCATGACAGCTTAATAAATGATTAGAAAACATATCGCTGCTGTTGGAACTATTTCCAAAATAGTAACTTTACAGGAGAAGGAAAAAACACACTTTACTTTCAACGCAAGTCAATGGAACCAGATTTTCTGGCCATTTCTTTTCGTCCATTCATCATGAAATTTACACTCAATGTAAAGGGCAACAGGCATTTTCCAATTATGTTAAAAACTGAAAAATCTCCTGCAAAAAACACTATTGATTATAAAAGTTGTTTGATATGACTCCAATTTAATTCCAATAAAGGCTAAATTAAAGTATTTTACATTTGGCTTCCCGGACTTACCAAAACCTACACATACGGAAATCTTATCATGTTTCTGTCAGAGTTGTTTTGAGCACCTTCCGTTTAGAAAGACTGTAGTATTTTCTGATAAGAACTAAAAAGTGGCAGCATTCCTTTTAAAAACACTCGTTTCCAGATTAGTCCACCTCTTTACTATGTGATAAAAATCTGTCAAATGTCACTTAGTTTACGTGTAAATATATAAAAAAAAGCATTTTTAATGTAGGCTGTCACAAGAATTTAGGTCTCAAAAAAAAAAGGAAAAAACTTGCAGTTCATAAAATATTACTGGCAATTTCTGTTTCCACAGCCTACATCAACAAACTTCAAGTGATTTTTTTGTAAAAAAAAAAGCCTGTAAATATATAGCTATTATTTGCCACTGAAGCAAACGGAAAAGGTGCAAACTCAAGTCTGTCGATACAAATGTAATAAATTATGTAAATATATAATTAATTATATAATTACATTGAAAAAACAAAGCGAAACCACTAGAATAACTGCAGACTAAAACACTAGACACTGGAATCCAAAACCACTAGAATAACTGCAGGCTAAAATCGATTTCATGCACTACGTGCTCCCTAATGTTATCATGTTTGTATTTATTTACTGTGGAAGTGTTATCGTGAATGGGATCCCCATCGTCGTCTTCACTGGGTTCCTCCACCAGAACATATCCATGAGCTACAGATGGGTCACTGCCTTCTGAACCTGACTTGAACAGAACACTCATCATTTGGCTCTCGTCCAGCCGACATCCGCAGTGAACGATCCAGTCGTCGTGCCTTTTGCACTTGACCTTGGCAAGTGCATTCGTATCCACCTGCTCAGGTTCTTGAGAATAGAGTTCAGCAAGAGGATCATACAGAGGATCTCCTTGTCTACAAGGTATTTTAGCCTCAGTGCATTCTAAGTCCTTTCCTTCATCGCTTATGTCTTCTGCTGCTGCCACATCCTCCATTAACTGGTCTTGATCTAAGCTATCTGAAGATGGCGCCTGAGATGATGCCAACTCTGGACTTTTTTGATGGCTAACTTGTTCTTCAATATGTTCTTCATCATGTTCTCCTCGTAGATTCAGTTCAACTGGCTGTGTGAGCTTTTGCAGTACCTGATTGGCAACCTCTTCATCTAAGCCCTGTGACAGAAGAGCAGAGCGGGCCCATGTCATGTGTTTTTGGTATCTGGAACAGAAGAAATCGAGGACATATTAATTTTGGGTTTTTGTGTGATTTACTGATTAGCAGAAGGATGACTTACTGTTTAAATGGACTACTGACACAGTCTTCAAAATCATAGTGAAAAATGGGTATACTATATAAAAGATATAAAGATATAAATAGCTATATATCTCAATTAAGTATTCAACCCTATTCTTGGCAAGTAACAAAAACTCACAACATGTTTAACGTATAAAAGCACATATGAACTTTTTTGGTACACTATTTAACTTTTTTGACAGTTCCTTTACTTTTACTAAGTAACCTATCACTTCACAAAGACAGGTATAACATACAAACAGAAGTGTTGCATGAAAGTTATGTGAATTTCTATAGAAATATGACCTAAAATATAAACAGATCTTTATTTATGTCATAACAATAGACAAAGAGAACACAATTAATAATTGCTTTTCACAAAGTTACTAAACAAAGTGATCTAATATTAAATGTCATTGTTGGCAAAAGTATGTGAACCTCTGCTTTCAGTAACAGGTGAGACCCCCTTGAGCAGCAATGACTTCAGCCCATTCGTTCCTATAACTGTTGATCAGCCCTGCGCATTAACTTGGCCTATTCCTCCCAATCCTCCTTTCAACTGTGTAATGTTAGTGGGTTTTCTTGCATGAACAACATGGATAGATGTTCTAATATTCTCCTCTTGAAGTTCTTGATACAATCCAGAATTCATTGCTCCATCAAATGATGACAAGCTATTCTGGTCCAACAGCCGCAAAACAGCCCCAAACCATGATACTGCCACCACCGTGTTTTAAAGTTGAGGATGAGGTTCTTATGCTGGTATGCTGTGTTTGGCTTTTGCCTAATCTCTTATTTAAGCCATAAAAATCTATTTTTGTCTTATTCATACACAACATTACTTCATTAGTCTTCTGGCTCATCTAGGTGGTTGTTCAGCGTTTGCCTGATTGTCAATCCATGTACAGTGACATCAGCCAGTGTAAGAGATTTACCTGCTCAAAACACATTTGACTCAACTCATCTGTTAATTGCCAGGTTTGGTGGGTGTGTCTGATAAGAGAAACCACAAACTGTGCTGGAGACTGAGCCCCCAGGACACCCCTCAAGTTGGTAGGGTCCGCCATACTCACACCTGATTGTCATCCAACATACCAAACTGATAATTCTATAGGTTCACATACTTTTGCTAACCAAAATTTACAATGTTGGATCACTTTGTTCCAATACATAAATGAAAAACCATATAACTATTATCGTTAGGTTCTCTTTATCTATTGTTATTACTTTAATGAAGATCTGATCTCATTTTAAGTCAAACTTAAGCAGAAATGCACATAATGCTAAAGAGTTCACAAACTTTCAAGCAACAAGGTATATGTAATCATAACTATAAAGCATCAAACTACTTACTCTGACAAAGGGATAACAGGTAAATATTTGTCACCAATATCTATAAAAAGAAGACAATATACACTTGTTTTTATTGTACTATATTTTAACTTTGCAGTTGAGATAGGAGAAAATAGGAGTTTTGGTTTTTTGGTCACTGCATAATTTCATGTCAGTTATTCCATAGTTTTCTTTAAAACAGTAAAAATAAGAAAAACCCATCTATAAGTGGGTCCAAACTGTTAACTGTTACTGTACATACAAGCACGTCAGAAACTTCACATCAATACCCACATTCCCACCGATCCGAAATACTGTACTCCGGTCTGCTTCTTGACAGAATTCCTTTACCAAAATAGCCCTAAAAATGACACAACAAAGCAAAAACTCAATAACACATTTTAAATGTAATATATTCAATAGCAATCATTTCAGTATGCTCTGAAGGAAGTAGTTTCTCTTGAATAAGAGACTGCAAGACATTTATCGGATTAAATAACAACTACATTAACCCCAAAGTTTTATTACATGCTTCCATAACCTAAAAATAGCTCCACTGGTTTTCATTGAAGTCCCTGTAGTTACTGAATAATAATGAAATAAACCTGGATTGTTAAGGGTTTTAATGAAAAAGAAATGCAAGCTTACCTTTCCATATAGAGCTTGAATGTGGTCAGGTTCTCTGACTATAACATGCTGGTTAATGACCTCAGCTTTGTATATGAGGCTCTGAGGCGAGGAAGCCTCTTTGGTGATTGGAACAGGTAGCGGGCTCTCAAATGATTCATAAACTTTTGGCCTCCGTTTTGGAGCCTGGAACACAGCTTCCATCTCTGCGGGGATACAGATAAAAAATATGACTACATGGTACTGGTGGGTGAAGCACATATAAACCCTGTTCTCCTGTTCTGTAACACTGCTGAGGGCATGGCACCTGTTATCAATACAAGGGTTTGGGTCCTACAGTGAATCATACTGTCCATCAGTATCCAGACAGCCCTTCTAATGAGTGAATTCATCTACTGTAAGGTGAACCCATTGCTGACACACCATATAATTTGTATAACTCTGCATAATCTCCTTAGAAAAGCACTCCCAATAGAACGGGACGCTCTGGAGCAGCTGCACATGAGCCTGAGGTTACCATGCCATTGGCTAGACGTGTATAAAGCACCCTAGTATTGGGCTGTGGAGTGATGGAGCACCTTGGGGATGAGCTGGAGTTGCGTTTGTGACCCAGAACTAATCATCAGTACCTGACCTCACCAATGCTCTTGTGGATGATGCAATCAAATCCTCACAGCAATGTTCCAACATCTAGTGTAAAGCCCTCCTAGAAGAGTAGAGGTTCTTACTGCAGCAAAGGAGGACAAACTCTCTATTAATACCCTTCATTTCAGAGGAAATGCTGGATGAGCAGGTGTCTACAAACTTTTGGACATATAGTGCATGTTTCATGCATGGCACTCAGCAGTTTAGACCCAGATGTTGGTGAGGATCATTTAATCTTTCGCCACACTAAACATCCTATATAAAAAAAAATAAGAGGTATAGTTGACTGAACAAAAGTTAAAAACGTTTTTCTTTAGCAAATTCCTGAGTGCAACATCTATAAATACTTAATTAAGAAATTAATACTTTAGCATTAAAGGGGAATTTCATCAATTTTTCATTTTCTCAATTCTACATATTTCAATCACTGAGATGTGAACAAAGTCATTCAGAGTGGTTTGATCTGAAGTCTAGAAAAACTGACCAGCTTGGATTTCTATATACTGGTGATGATAGGAACCAGCTGTTGAGCAAACATAGCCATTTTATTTGCTATCCAAAAAAGGCAGTGAACCTAAATGTGTTTTCTGAGTTTATATCTGCCGTTAACTGTGGTAAAATAGTGGTAAACCTGAACAATTTGAATGAAGTTACAGTCATTGCCATTTCATAGAATAACGTCCTAGGAGTGAGATTTTAGAGGCATTAAAGGGGAATTCCACTGATGTCTTAAAATTTCTAGCTGCACAATTAACTAGTTAAAGGGGAACTCCACCAATTTTTAGAATTTCTGCATAATTAAGTGGTTAATGTGTCAGCAAATCATTCAGAGTGGTTTGGTGTAAAATGCTCAGTTCGGTCTAAAATTGTATTTTAATCAATTTATTTTAAACAATTGGCAGAAGGGTGTTGTGAGGCAAAATAGTTCCCAAAGAAAACATTATTTTAGCTTTTCCACTGTTTTACCATCATTAACATTCCATATAAAGCTCAGAAGACGTGTAGGTTCACTGGTGGTTTTGGATAGTAAATAAAATGGCTATATTTGTGTTGTAGCCATGGTGACTCCTGGTTCCCATCACCACCACTGTAAAGAAATCTCAGTCTCTATAACAGCGGTGTTCAAAGTCCGGCCCCAGGGCCAAATGCAGCCCACAAACAGATTTTAATCAGCCTGTAGCTTCTGTTTTAGAGTGTGTTACAAGTGGCCCGCCAGCCAGTATGCAGCAGTTCTTCTTTTCAACTGATGGTGGCAGCAGTGCTGTAAAATTACAGTGTGTAAAATAATGTGATGCACTGTATTACCAAAGTTTAAGAGCCTTATATTTTAAAAGACTGTAATGAATTTAATATCAACAGACATGAAAAAAAGCATGAACTGTACAGTAAATATTCAGGAGAGAAACTAAAGCAGCTGCAGCTGCCTGAGTCTCACAGCACCAACTTCTTATTATATTTAATCTGCCCTTCTCATTTAATAAAGTGACTTCTGATTGCTGCTGCTATATTCATTTGATATGTAAAGAACATTACCTAACAAAACCAAACATTTATAGATTTAAGCAACAGAACACGAGACGGGAGTGTGTTATTGCAAAATAACACCACAGCTGTGATTTGGTCGCAGGCATGAGCCGAAGACAAGTGATGTTATTCGCGATAACACACAACCTCAAGTGTGCTATTGCTTTTATACAACAGTTAATAAATAAAGTAAGAAATCAATAAATTGGGCTGTGAACGTGTCATTTAATATGTTTTAATATTAGCAGTTCCTTTCACCAAATTATAGTTCCTTAACAAACAGCTTGTTGCTACGTCAGAGTAACGAGCTCAGCTCACTGCACAGCCGGCAGTTCGCTCTCCAGCTCCACACAGACCAACTGACAGTTTGGGAATTTAGTGTCGTCTCATCTTCAGAGTCTGACCAAATCGGCTGTCGGTCAAATGTGATCTATTTTCTGTTTGTGGCAAAGTAAGAAGTAAAAACGTTCAAATGGCTTGAGCCAATCCTACAGCTGTCAAAGTCGTTGCTTAGCAACGGTGTCTCAGCAGCGTGATACAGTGTTTGTGAAAAACCCGTGATATTATGGCGAAATAACAGCACGGTTAGAACTCTTCTCAGCCAATCAGCTTGCGTGGCCGGAACTAACTGTTGTATAATAGAACAATATAGAACAAAATAAAACAACTTAGATTTGTTCAGCTTTTCTAACAACAATTAAACAAGTGAACACTTGAATAAGAATAAATGTAACACATTAGACAGGTTTTATTGTTCCTTTTAAATAATTTAATTACCATTAGCACTTACTGATCCAAACTGCTCTGATCACTTCGCCAATAAAAGAAGCCTCGTGCATCTTTTATACAGTGATCGAAAACATGGCAGCTCACAGAAAGCTCTGACTCTGTGCACTGATATTTTGAAAACTTAATACGTCGAATCAACTGTGAATAATATTTCGACCTTCAGGTGTTTTGACACAGTACAAGTTGGCACTCTTTTAAAAGGTTTGGACACCTCTGCTCTACAATCAACCACTGTATTATGCAGAAAATTTGAAAAATCGGTGGAATTCCCCTTTCAGACGTAGACACAGTGGTAGTGATAAGAACTAGACGTCAGAAAAAATGAACGCCTCTAAAATCTCCCTCTCAGACGTTATTAAAGGAAATGGTTATGAATACACAGCCTGCCGTCGGACACTCTGCCTGCTGCACTATTTAAGGTGGAACGGGGAAAATTCATATAAGCTCACTTTAGCATGCTGGCTGGCGAAAGCGGCCACTAGAAAGCTTTAAACGGAGCATTTGTGGAAATCTCTGACATAATTCCTACACATTTCTCACACATAAATCAAAAACGCACAGTTTAACTCCAGACATTCAGTTCCGTCAACTTACTTCAGCTCATGCTACGCTAACCCGCAGCCGCGTTGTCACAGTGAAAACAGTCCGCCGAGTTTCGCGGCTTTATGTTTGGTTCCTATGCATTCGCAGGCAAACCAGATTCTAATAAACCCCGATAGTTACTCAGAGCAGTGCTGGGCGGTATTAATCTGTTTTAGTATAACGATATTTACCAAATACATCACGGTATCAGATGCTGTTTCAGTTAGCATTAATAAAGGTAACTAGTGCTGCTGCTGCTCCATGTTAAAAGTCTTAGAAATGTCATCTACAATATAAAAAAAAAAATATCTAAGCAGCTGAAAACATCTTATATACCTAGTCGATATGTCTAATGTATATATATATATATATATATATATATATAAACCCCATTTCCAAAAAAGTTGGGATGCTGTGAAAAATGTAAATAAAAACAAAATGCAATGATGTGCAAATCATTTAAACTCTGTATTTCACTGAAAATGCTTCAAAGACAACATATCAAATGTTGAAACTGAGAAATTTTATTGTTTTTTGAAAAATATTTGCCTATTTTGAATTTGATGACAATAACACGTTTCAAAAAAGTTGGGATGGGGGTAACAAAAGTCTGGTAAAGTTGTGTAATGCTAAATAAAACACCTTGTGGTTGATTGACAACAGGTCAGTAACATGATTGGGTATAAAAAAGCATCTCAGAGAGGCTGAGTCTTTCAGAAGTAAAGATGAGGAGGCGTTTACCACTCTGTGAAAGACTGCAGGGCAAATAGTGCAACAATTCAAAAATAACTTTTCTCAACATAAAATAGCAAAGAACTTTTGCTTTTCATCATCTATGGTACATAATATCATTAAAAGATTCAGAGAATCTGGAGAAATCTCAAGGCTGAAAACCAGTATTTGCTGGCCATGATCTTTGGGCCCTCAGGCGGCACTGCGTTAAAAAGAGACATGATTCTGTAGTGGAAATCACTGCATGGGCTCAGAAACACTTCTGAAAACCACAGTTTGTGAAAACAGTTCGGCGCTGCATCCACAAATGCTAATTAAAACTCTTAAACACAAAGAAGAAACCATATTTAAACAGGATCCAGAAATGCTGCCACCTTCTCTGGGCCCAAGCTCATTTAAAATGGACTGAGGGGAAATGGAATTTTTTTTTGGAAATCATGGACGCTGTGTCCTCTGGGCTAAAGACCACTAAGCTTGTTATTAGTGCACAGTTCAAAAGCCAGTATTCATGATGGTATAGAGGCGAGTGACTTGCACATCTGTGAAGGCACTATTAATGCTGAATGATATGTACATGTTTCAACAACATATGCTGCCATCCAGACGTCTTTTTCAGGCAAGGATTTGCTTATTTCAGCAAGACAATGTCAAACAACTTTCAATACTACAGCAATTGATCTCATCAGTTCCCAAACACTTACAGAGATTTATAAAAGAAGAAGTGATGAAACACAGTGGCAAACATGCCCCATCCCAACTTTTTTGGAACATGTTGTTGGCATCAAATTCAAAATGGGCATATATTTTTCAAAAAAACAATGAAATTGTTGTTGCATATATTTTTTAGATATACTGGTTAGGTATAAGATGTTTCACTTGCTTAGGTATAATTTTTTGTAGTGTAGGTTTTGACAAGTCTGTTTTATTGGGTTTTCTTCCTTTAAATTAACAACAAAATACACAATATTGTAAATGTTAACCAGAGAGAAGCCAGATAAGAAGCTTACAGTTTATTCAGTAGAAACAATCTAAAGCACTCAGCACAATCACATTAGTTAATTGAGTAAATAATACAAAGAAGATCATTAAAAATCACACATTTTAGGACATGGACATAATGCTCAATATCTGTTCTGACTTATCAAAGAAAAGGTAAATATTGTGATGTGCATGTGTATCGTGGTACTATGTTTATGTCATATTGCCCACCCCTACTCAAACGTGTAATTATTCACTGAAATCAGAAGATTTGACCAGAGTTGTTTATGTTACATAAACATTGTACTTATAGAATATAAGTTGCCTCAAATGCAAAGACCAAACCCCTGACAGAAAAACCAATAACCACCAATTCCAAGAATTTTTTAAGCAGTTCCTGTTTTGCTCACACTATCACTCTTAGTCAGAGGCACCAACTAGTTTCATTTACTCATTTCCAGTAAAATTATGATGGATTTGTGCTTCTTTTTACACAGTAACATGTTTCGGTCTACTGCTGCTCAGGTCTGTTGAGGAAAGGAAGGCGCTGTTTCCTCAGTTCATTTTTATTCATTCATATTTAGTTTCTAATTCTTATCAGGGTTTAACTGGAGCCAAAAAGGACAGAAAAAGAGAAGAACAGAGAATTCAGCTGCTGTGTTGATAGACACTGGGATGTACAGTCGCATGGAAAAGTTTAAACACCCCCAGACAAATCACATGTTTTATTGATGTGAAAATAGGTCCCAGGGAACACACTTGAATATGGTAATATGATATTTTTCTGTAAATGTTAGTGCCAAGTTTCTGTTTATTTGCTGAGTTTAACATATTGGAAAAAATAAAACATAAAAGATACATTTTTTAATGTTTTATATTCCCCCCAATATGTTAAATTCAGCAAATAAATATTAATTTTGTATTAAAATGTGCAGAAGTGTGTTCTCTGTAGAGGACGTGTTAAATTATGTACACTTACAAAATCAGCAAAAGCAGTGTTGTGTAAATTATATGTAAACAAAGTGGGTTTAAACGTTTTAATGAACCTGTGAATTCTTCGTATGAGCCAGTAGGGGGTATTCTTCACCAATATGTTACCTCGAGGCCTGAGTGCCAGCCTGTATGAGGAACACAGCTCAGTGAAAGGAGTAATTTAGCAAGCAGAGCTAATGTTGCTAACAATAAATGGAACCCAACAGTCACAATTTATCACTGTGAAAATGACATCAAGCTGATTGGTGGCTATTCGCTTCAATTTACTGCCAGCACTGGTTAAGCTAATGTAACGCAAGCCTACAAGCATAATTACTTCAGAAGAAATATGATTAGCTACTAAAACAATGTCCTCTGAGAGAGATGGGCAGTGTGTGCAAAATGACCATATTCCCCTATATTCAGCTCTATCACTTTCACAGCTTTGTGAACGGCCTCTTTAAAATTCCTTCCCATATAGAAAAATTAATCTTATTTTTGTAACTGTTTTATATATATATATGTACAGATGCCAATTGCTGTTGTCGGAACAAAACCTCGTATCTCCAAAATGGTAACTTTACAGGAGAAGGAAAAACATACTGTGCTTTTAATGTAAGTCAATGGAACCAGAATGTTCTCCAAGTCATTTCTTTTGGTCCATTCTTCATAAAATTCACATGCAACATAAAGGGCAACAGGTATTTTCAAATGATGTCAAAAAACTAAAAAACGGCAAAAATGGAGATACAAGGTTTTCTTCCAACAACAGTGAAATGTACTAGTACAACTGTTAACTATCCAAAATTTATTTGATGCTCATTTTCATACATTTTCAAATGTATTTGATAGTACATTTTTGTATATGTTTACTTTCATATGGGTCTCTAATCACTCTAACATCATCAAGGCCTCGTTGTGTTTACACCACGCAGAGGCTTTAAAGAGGAACTTTAAAAATTCGGCCATGAACGTGGATGACATGGCAGAAATCTGCCGGTGTTTGTGGACATTTGCTTAAGCCAAAAGCTTGACAACATTTGTGTAATGAGTGACCTGGTTCTTCACTGGCAGCACCTGAGAGGACAGAGTTCTTATAGACAGTGAAAAGCTAAAAAAGGGTTTGACACATGAGAGCTTCTCAGAATTGGAGGTGGGTGGAAATGAGACAGGCTGGGAGAGTAGAACAGGCTTCAGTTCTGCGCTTATTCACCTCTTTCTAAGAAAAGCTTTCACTGTAAGGAATCTTGTTTGTCCGTCCTTTTCTATTTTTACCTCATGAAAAAAAATGTGGAAAATGTATACAATGTACGCATGCGTGCACACACACACACACACACACACACACACACACACACACACACACACACACATTATGTGACAATAACATCTCATATGTATTAAGCACATGTAAGTAATAATAGATTTAAAAAAAATAAACAATTCAGGATCATTTTGTTGGACATGAAATTGTAGGCTATTTTCTGTCTTGACAATTTACAAATCAAACAAATAAACAAGCTGTGTAGTTTATCTGTACCATGGTCTAATTTATTTATTTATTCAATTTTTAAAGAGCCCATGTCATAAAAAAAAGATTTTCTTTTCCCTGTAAAAAAAAAACAACAGCCCATTCTAAACTCACTGTTTCTGTGATGTCAATACATTTACTTACATCTGCCTATTCCTCCTACAGCAGTTTAGCTCCACCCACTAACACTGAAGTAATAAGCAACGTTTCAGCTCAGACTGCCATTTGAAAGAGGCACAATACAGGGCAGCCAATCAGAACAGAACTTAGGTACATATATCAATCTTAAAGGAACAGTTATGAGCCTGTTCAGTTCTGAGGATTAAAAAGAGGTTGGAAAATAGCAGAAATAAATTTTGAAACGACATACAAACGTTGTAAGTGGGCTGCAAAAAAAAAAAACAAGAAAAGTGGACCCTTTAACAACTGGAACCTTTAAACCATTGTAAAAATGTTTATCACTATAAGAATAACAGCTCCGAAAATGCTGCAGGCAGTAAGTATTTCTTAGGAATACATAATGGGATGAACAGCCCATGTTTTTAAAAACGTCCATTGCGGTTGCTTTAACAAGCTTGTTCAGTTTTAGTGTGAAACCACTGTGGTTAGTTTGAATCAGCTGAGGACAGAATTAATGCAAAAGCAGAAAGTTCTGAACGACAGTCTATTTATAATACTGTATTTTTGTGAAAACGGAATTTGCATGTCCTGTGAAATGAAGAACAGATCTACTGTTCAGTTTCGACAAATCAATAGTCAGCACAGAAGAACAGTGACTACAACAAAATCTCGTCTAATATATTTTCCACCTTTATATTATACTGTATTAATAAATACTGAAGCTGCATCTC